GACGAAACATGAAATGGAAGTACAGGGTGTTTTCAAATAATGATGAAACAGTTGGTTTTATTTAGATCTATTTCTACAGTTCGTCATTATTGAGAGAACAACAAATAGATCTCTATTATATCATTATTATTTGTTTCTTGTGTACCTAATGGAACAAAGGGATTCAGTAGCACGTATCCAGCGCACTCTATTCTATGCAAACCAATGAACCTTGCTCCACGATGGCCCAAAAGCTCTCATTTCCTCCTCACACGATCTCCTCCATTTCACCCTCAATTCCAACCCTTAACTCGTCGCCTCCAATCTGGGTTCCACTAGACAACCTGGCCTGACGCGTGATGTCTCCAGTCGGCCTTCTCAATGTATTCACAATCCAATCCATCTCCACTTACTTCCAGTGCATATTTGTTGGGCGATAGATTCTCGGTTAGTTCGTTTCCAAAGTTCCTTCTTGCTTATTCTTATGATTCTGGCCATCTGATCTTCAGTAACGAGCCAGTGTAGACGGAAATTGTTGATGAATGTCTGTAGTTTGTTGGAGATGCCTTTCGTAACGTGCCAAGTCTCTCAGCCATACAGAAGCACTGATTTGACTGAAGTTGGTGTTGAAAATCCACATCTTGTTCCACATGGTGAGTGTGGAAGATCTCCACACTGGATTCAGGCTGATGAACGCCTGTGTTGCTGTCTTCCCGATCCTCGCTTTGAAGACTTTCTCTGTGCTTGTGCCGCCTGTAGTTCAAACCATACTACCCTGTCTAGATAGGTGAAAGAGACTACTTCCTTCAAGTTTATCCAGTTGATGATGATTAAGGTTGCTGTTGCTGTTGTTGGTGGTGACGTTGGTTGGGTGGGTATCATCATCACCTCTGTCTTCTCTACGTCCAATTGAAGTCCCGTCTTCGCTGCCCTACCTCTTCTGTCAACTTGTTAGTTTTCGCCTGTAGACCTTCAAGTTTGTGCGACATTAGAACACAAGTCATCTTTGGCGAAATCCAAATCTTCTAGGTTATTTTCTCCGGTCCAGCCAGCGTATCACCCTCTTCTCACTCCTCACTGTTTGTTGCATGATCCAGTCAGTTCACCACAATCAGGAATATCATGGGGGATAGTAGGCAACCTTGTTTCACTCCTGTCTTCACTTCACTTCAAAAGCATCACTGAGTTTCCCATTGTGAATTACTTGACATGTGGTGTATTCACATAGTTGTTGAATGAGATTGATAAAGGTTTGTGGTATTCCGTATTGAAGCAACTGCCGAATTACTCCTAAATCGATATCTCGATCGAAGGCCTTCTCAAAGTCGATGAAGTTGAGGTGAGGTAGAGAGTTGACTGGCATTCTATTCTATACTCTGTTCCGTGACGATGCGTTGGGTAGCGTTGCAATTTGATCCGCACGTGATTTGTACTTCCTGATTCCAGCCAACCCGTTCTGGTCATAGTTTTTGAATCCAGTGCTTCCTCTAGTCTCTCCAGGATGATGCGGCTTAATATTCTGCTTGCTTGGGGTGGATAGGAGAGTGGTTTGGTGCCAGTTCTTGCAAACACTGAGGTCTCTTTTTTTCGGCAGTTTGACAAGGTAACCCTTCTTCTAATCAATTGGCAGGTACCTTCCCTTCCTTCCACACCTTCTGTAATAGTGGTGTGTTGTGAGCATGTTCACTGTTGTCTCTGAGTCTGCTCTCAGTGCTTCTGGTGGGATTCCTTCTGGTCTTGCTGCTTTCCCACATTTCAGTAGCTTTATGGTGCTCAGGACTTCCACTTTAGTTGGATGATTTGTGTTCACAGGTAGTTCTGTGACTGGGATGCTGGTGGTATTTCTGGACGAATTGCAGGTGGTGGTGGTGGATTCAAGAGCTTTTTGAAGTGGTTGGCTCATCGTTTCCTTTGTTTCTGTTCTTTGGTAATTGAATTTCCGTCATCAACTTTTACTGGTTTCATGTGTGTTGATCTCTTGCCCCCCAGATAGTAACCTGGTTATTTGATTCAATGTTGTTAGGTTTCTCCTACCTGCAACCTGTTCTGCTTCACTTGCCAGTGTGTTGTAGAAGCGTCTTCTATGTTTTCACGCCTTCTTCACTTCTTTGTCCAGTGTTTTATACATTGTACTCAGTTCCTCTTATCATCGTTTATCCTTGCACCACACTGTACTGGTTCATCATCTGCTTCTCCATCACCTTCTTCCTCTCCCTCCTCTGTCAGCTTCCATATGTCCGTCGAGATCCACTTCTTGTCTTGTCTTGTTTCCACTTCCTTCCTAATACGGTTATGCAGGTTTCTTTCCACATAGCTTTCAAAGAGTTCTGATGCTCATCCACACAGGTTTCTTCAGGGATGTTGCTTGATATCTCCCATATTTTCCTCATAACTGACGACGTGAAGAAATCCTTTGCAGTTTTGTCCTTATATTAAGTTTCTTTTCTGAGTTTTGAACTTGAACTGTTGTCTATCACGAAATTCTTTGAAGCGAATCAACTTGATTTTGAGAGTAGGTTCCTTGCACTAGATAGTGAGTGGTGTGAACCTACATCTGCTCCTCCTCTTGATCTGATCTTGTGTCCAGTAGGCTGGCTGCGTCTCCACTTTCTTGAGATTGAGTTGAAGTCGATCTGATTTTTAGTGTGTCTGGTGTCTGGTGAGATCAACTGCATGTCGCTTTGTGAATATCCTTGTGTTTGAACCTAGTGCCTCCAATCACCAAATCGTTGAATGTGCAGGAGTCTGCAAATAGTTCTGCATTCTCATTCATTTCACTGAGTGTTTCTCCACCTATGATTGGTTCTCTTCCTGTGTTGTACGCTCTCACTGCATCGCATTGCATCCTTGTCACCCCACACATTAGAATTTTGATGTCGTCAACTGGGGTGTGATCTTGTCCATTATTGATTAGAGTTGTCTGTAGAATTCCTCCTTCTTCTCTTCATCTGCATTATTTGTAGATGCACAGTGTAACATTGTATGATTGTGACTTTCCTTCCTTTCGAGTTGAATCCATCTTGCTGTTATGATGCTGATCCTGCAGGAGGAGATTGATTCCCACTGCATGAGAGAGAGGCTTCGATGCTGTTGGGAGGCGACATCATGATAGCCACTCGAAACTCAATGTGCTGGTGATTGTCGTCTGTGTGACAACATCGGAGTAGATTACTGACTGCTCTACAGTTGACAGTCAGTTTGGCGAGTCCACTTCCATCCCATCTGCAGGTTCCTAGTAGATTCCTAACACTTCAACACTATACTTCCTCATCTCTTTTGCAATGTGGACAGCCTTGCTAGTTTCAAATATAGTGTAGACATTCCATGTCGCGATGTTTACTTTCACTTTCATCGAGGGAATGCACATCGGCCAGATGGCTTTCCGAAGGCTGTCACCAACTGGCGTCATTTTGCCCCTCCGATTCCAGTGAGGAATTAGTTTAATTTTATGTGATATATTTTTTTGTGGTTTGAAGTTTGTTTATCGAATGAATTGGTTTTCAGGGGTATGGTTGCTAGCCCTACTTCCAACTTTCTTTTTTTATCCAGGCCTAAGATATGCTAGTAACCAAGAATAGGACCAACTATGTCGCTCTTCCTTGTGATCTTATCTATCTTAATTTTAATTTATATTATCTGAGTTTTTTTGTTTGATGTTACATTTTCGTGTTTTATATAAATATGTAAATTCTGTGTTTGCACCCAGTTTGTAAATACGATCATGCGGTAGTAAGGCGTCAGGCATTCACGTGGTAATCGGGCGAAATTTTGATGATTGAAGCGAAATAAAAATCTAAGCAGCATTTGAACCTCGTAGTTCAGTTGGTACAGCATTGGGCCGGAAACGTAGTGGTCACCTGTTCGAAAATAGCAGCGGTCCAAATTTCCATTTCACCTTCAATCATCATCCAGTATAATTAATAGTCTATGAGACTACGAATATCTCAGATGGTCAAATGATAGCAAGGTATTTTTATACCGCTACGTACCTGATGTAAAGGCAGTTTAGTTATACACAAATTATGAGACAAGAAGCAACGAGACAAATCCTTAACTTAAATAAATTGTAAGGCAGCGTTTTTGTGTCCCCATATATATAGAATGCTTTTTGAGAAATAATATGTGGACTTTGCAACTCACCTTTCAGAAGAAATGTGTCAATCAAACGCTAATTAAAGGCTTGAAGGCTTTACTCTTTATGATGTGAACAGAAATTTATTTCAAGGAAAGATTCATTGCAATAAAAGTTCTGAATCTGAGTAAATATAGCCTAATATTGTTCAACTGTTATATAGTTGAGCAAATCCAAATATTGTAAATTATATACAAAATTGACAAAACAGAATAAAGGAATGGTAATTATCTAATATTTATCGCTTACACCCCAAGTGACTTTAGGATCGAACTCAGAACCTCTGTGTTCCGGATCCACTACATTACGATTGATTTTACTTCAAGACTGATGTCAGTTTCTGATCAATACTGGCCTGAAATCAACAAATAAATCCCCACAAACCTCAAAACTGAATTAATCTAATGTTCATTGATGACTGATTTTGAAAAGCAACTTCCGAAGTCTAAATGAGAAGTCATGACGGAGGAGGCCAATCGAGTTGGACATGAGGACAGTTACTCGAACATGGTATTGCCTAGAGCTCGGTGTGTGCTGAGAACTGATAGAAGTAGTCAATATGAATCACAGGATGCCGATCCAGTGGCTAAGTGGCAACACACTGACCACGAAACATGAGGGTTTTGAGTTCAAGCCCTGTTGGGGCAGGGTCATGGATGCATCTTGGTGAGGAGTCCCATAGTAGGGAAAAACAAACGTCTAGTACTTCCAGGTTCTCAATTTTTCTACAACTGATATCAGTCTATGATGAATATCAACCTGAAATCAATAGATAAATGCGCAGAAACCTCAAAATTCAATTAATGTTATTATTTTACATGTATAATTTTATATATAGGTATCACTTACCTGACAAATTTAAGTAATCTACATGTTTATTCCTTTCCAGATCAAATTACTATTTATCATATCCGCATTTATACAGGAACTCAGTCTAAAACTGGTTCAGATGCAAATATACATGTTAATCTATTTGGTGACAAAGATTTCACTGGAAATATCACATTGTATAAAGCTTTTAATGAACAAGAGGATCCAATCACTAATAAATTTGAACCTGGTCAATTAGCATGCTTTATTGTTAAACCGATTAATATTGGTAATATTAAAAAAATCAGGTTAGTAGTAATGAAAAGATAAGAATAAGTAATATTGAATTGTTATTTTTAGAATTGGACGTGATTTTACTAGTGTATCTTCAAGTTGGCATCTTCAATGTGTAGAGGTGGAAGCTAAAAAATTAGGACTTCTCTGGAAGTTTGACTATAATCGATGGATTAATCCACAACAACCAGAAATAGAGTTATACTCTGAACCAAAGTATACATCTTTTGTTAAACCTAGTGAGTTCTCTTTGTGAATGATAAATATGGGTAAGCATTTTGTGAAAACTATATTAACTATATACTTGAGTCATTTAAAGATTTATGTTTCTATGGAAAATAAAAACAATATTTGAGGTTGGTGTTCATCATAGACTGACGTCAGTTGAAGAAACCTTGGAAATTTGGGATTTAGAATACTCAGCAGATACAAAGTATTTTCAACTTTAATTTTAATTTCAGAGTTGTACCAATGATTTAATATAACCATAAAGAAGAATCGACCAGTACCCAGTATATAGTCGAGTTAGAAGTCATGCTAGGATATAACGCCCACGAGTCCGAATCCCGGCGAGAACAACATCACTCACTGGGAAGCAGGTACATCCAGCTAACGAGTCTCAAACAGGACGAAATGCGCATCCTGGATTCCACTGTTAGCCACGATCCATAATTAGTATAATGTAATAACCTACTGCAACGTATTCAGGATGTTCAGATCTTCATGGATCTTCTGAGTTTTCGGTTTTGTCAATTAAAGGCATTGAGCTGTGTGTCGGAGAATTCCTGTGAAATAGTATGTGTTAGGCTTCCGGTTAGGTTAAATTCTTACCAACATCAGGTGTTATCACTTCGGATAGCTATTCTGTAAGTTCGAATCTGGTTAGCTGATATTCTCGCCTCTTTCTGTTAGTTACTGCTATTTATTGACATACTTGCAATTCTCTGTTGTTATACTGGATGGAACTCTTTGACCTAGTAGCACGGCGGATAACTGTTTGGCGTTCAAAGCTATGAGTACGAGGTTCGGGTCCCAGTGAGAAGAACATCACTCACTGAGGTGTAGGTACATCGGCTGGCAAGTTCTGAATAGGACGAAACACGAATCCTTGATTCTTCTGCTAACCACTTCATCTCCCCATTTACCTTCAGCGATTTCACGGCCAAAGCGCACTGTAATAAATCAGGAGTGTGCACTCATGAACCCGCTAAAAATCAAACCAAGGACCTTCAGGTTCCGTGGACAACACGTTACAAATGAGCCACTGAGTTTGATCCCAGTGGTCTAGGTTTCAAAAGTTTCTTCAACTGAAGTCAGTCTGTGGTGAATACAAACCAAAAATCACTGAATAAATGCCTACAAAGCATTAAACTGAATTGATCTAGTGCTCATTGGTGACTAACTTTGTGAGGTGATTCCCAGAGTTCCCATGTGAGGTCATGACCTATAAAGCCTACCAAGGTGAATCTGAGGATACTTACTCAACGGCGGCACTGGATTGAGTACCACTATATCGTGAAGTAACAGAAGTAGGCAGTATGGATCACAGGGTACCGATCCAGTGGCTAAGTGGCAACGTGCTGGCCGCGGAACCCGGAGGCCGTTAGTTCGAGCCCTGGCGGGGCGGGGTCATGGTTACACACTGCTGAGGGGTCCCATACTGGGACAAAACAGCTGTCCAGTGCTCTCAAGTTTTCAGCGGTCATCCAAGTGGTGTTAGTTCATGATGAGTATCAACCGGAAATCGATAAGTAAATCCCTACAAATCTCCAAAGTGAAACACATTATTGTCCTAATCATTCTTGCCTTTGTAGTGCAGTGGGCCAACGCAGGTCGGATAGTTCAATCCAGTTTAGTAACAGGAAATTACAAGTGTTAATAAATAACAACTGATACCTATCGCAAAAGAAGTGGATCACGCACATCAGTGGCCTAGTGAATAACGCTTTGATGTTTGAAGTGGTGGGTGCTGGGTACTGTATCTCAGTGGGAATACTATCACTCGGTTTGGGTGTGACCACATCCACTGGAGGACGTACCACAGAGAAAGAAACATGCGGCCTGAATTTTATTATTAGCTACCAAGTTTACTACAGCATAACGAAACATCCAGTTATCGAATTCCAGTTTCATTTGTTACGTTCAAAGGTGGGAAATATCATAGGTATTTTACTTTGGAGAACATACAGCTCACGTATAAAAACAGGCTTCATTTTAAATAGAAGATGCAGTGAGAGAAAGAATATTTCTTTTATGTTAGGTCTACATCATCAGCTCTACATTGATTTATGCAGGTTTTACAATTATCAGCATTACATCATCTAAAGGCGGGGATTTAATTGCCTAACATAACTAAAAACTTAGATTACTCATAAAGCCAACCACCGGAAAAATAGAGATGGGAAATGATGAACACAGTATTCACATAGAATTATTAAAGTGTAACGTAGAGCAAGATAGTTTGTTATTTCACTGACTCTATAACACTTATCACGAAAAGTGACGAATTATGACAAATGAAATCACGTGTCATTAACAAAGGGTTACGTAAGAATACAGAGACAGAAAAATAAGGACACAAGTAATAAATAATAATTTGCTTGGTTAAGGTTTGAAGCGATGGGTACGGGTTTCGATTCTCAGTGGGAACAACATCACTAACTAGGGTGGAGATACAACCAGGTGATGAGTTTCAAATAGGACAAAACGCGGGTCCTGGATTCCTCTGTTAGCCCCAAGGAAGTAAATAATCGTGATCAATATTTAGACAATATGGAAACCTCTGTGTAGGAGCTCACATGCCAATAGAGGTAGAAGGATTAGATCCAATAAAACAGCTAAGACTTACAAGTATATCAATAAATAATAATAACAACAGTTGGTAGTCTGCTTGAACACCGGGACACCAAACATTTTCCACTGAATATCATCAAATTCTTCCCTTTCAATTCTTTTTGTCTTCTAAATATATCTTTTAACACTATCATGAACTTTCGTAAATTTTTCAAATGTTTTCAAACTACAGTTTTCCCAGGGAACAAGAAAACTATGGGAAAAGCTTCCTCTGGTAAGAAATGCATTTATAAATACACAAAAACACAGCACATCACTATTCCTAAGATACCTAAGTTGAACTGCTGACTGAATAAACTACTAGCACCAAAATATCTTTCAAGTTTTTATTCACTTACCAGTCCAAACAAGGCGCTAATATGTAATAATTATTGTACAGGGAATGCATTTTTTTTGGAATATTACATGCTGAGAATTCCATACTATGTCAAACATATTGTTTGGAATAAAGCAAATATTATTATTATTATTAACATTATTGTTATTATTATTAGGAGCATATCGGAAAAGAAGGTCTTCCGTAAATAATTTTAGTTCATTAGGTTAAAAAATGAAAAAGGTAGCAGTTAGACATAAACTGACCGCAATGATCAAGGTAATGACATAGGTTTAACATTTTTTTTGGCATCAAAATGTTTGTTTATGAAGTCCTAATGTAATTGAGGTGTGAAGTAAATGAATACTCAGGCCACTCGGAAGAACGGATTATATATCGTAGGTAACTTTGAAAGCCTCATCTGTATTCAGTTTCTTCAATTCATTGGTGAAGTCGTTTTTAGATTCGAAGTTCAAGAAAATAGGTTTCTTAGAACCTTTTATCATCCTTGGTTTATCTTCTGTTTCATTCATATTCTGAAAAGTAAATATGGTAGGATATTCATCTGTACTAAGAAGGCTACGTATAATCTTAAGCTTATATTTTGTGGTATCGTATGTCAAACGACATTTGCTTACTGAACCAATCATTTCACCAGGTTTTGTTTATACCATTCAGCTGAAATTTTCATCTCATATTTTCAGTTTTCAACCTTCATTTTATCACCAATCCACGAAACAATCATTGCATTTTCCAATGAAGCAAGTTAGCATGGCCTAATATTTTGGGTTAGTCATCTCTGTTTGCAATAATTTTATGACATACAATTCAAACCTTAAGGGCGTCACAAAACTATGTTTTGGTTAGATAACAATGATGAGTAGTGGCTGGTGGTGGAATCTAAAATGCTTGTTTTTTCTCATCGAAGACTCGTCAGTCGGATGTATCCGCCTCTCTGCGAGTGATATTATTCCCGCTAAGACATGAAACAAGGACCAGTTGCATCAAGTACCTAAGCGTTATCTACTAGGCACCTGCACAGCAGCCTAGATGCCGCTAGTGGTCGATCGATTCGGACTGACCAACGACGGAATATTACGAACAATAATCTTACTTTTTGGTGGATTACATAAAGTAAAACAGAGGGACTGAAGACATTTAATGCATAAGTTCTGAGTACTTACTTATCATATTTTGTGATTACTATTTTATACGATTCCCTACATTTTGATTTTCATCCACCTTTATACATTTGAGTCGCAGATGTCAATATAATGAAGACAGAAGTTTACAGATTCAGGTTAAAAACGTTTCCACTTTACTTTTGCTTTATGAAGGTTTCCTTAATGACTATCTATGAACCAACATCTTGATCACCAAATAGATTTTGATGACCTTTAGATCGAAAGATATTAGTGACAGAAATGTGCCACAGATTGTAGATGTAAAACGGTTTCCATGTTTATTCTCAGATTATTTGAGATGGCAGTGTTTTGTTAGGTTGATGCTTTTGATACACTAGGTGAAATGTAAACTTAGATGACAGCAATCTTCAAACCAATAGCTTCCAGGTTACCAGCTTGACGCTCTATAATCTGGACATCGAAACCTTACCACTACTATTATTATTTGTCCCTTGGGTTCCTAACAGGATAAAGGTCTTCAGTAGCACGTCGCCATTTCACTCTCTTCTCTACAGTATTTTTAACCTCGCTCCACCACTGCCCAGAACATTTCATTTCCTACTCGCACAATCTCCTCCATGTCACCCTAACACACCCAACTCATCGTTTCTCATTTGGCTTCCACTTGAGTGCCTGGCCTGGCACGTGATGTCCCCAAACTGTCTTCTCGGCGTATGTCCAGTCCATTTCAATCCATCTCGACTTTCGCATGCAAATTTTTCATGGGATAGGTTGTTGGTTTGGTTCGTTGTCAGGCCAGAGTTCCTCATTGCTTATTCTTTCTGGACATCTGGTCTTCAGTATCGAGCATAGACAGTTGCTGATGAATGTCTGTAGTTAGTTGGAAATGCTTTTTGTGACACGCCAAATCTCTCAACCATCAGATAGAAGCACTGACTTGACTGAATTGATGTTGAAAATCCGAATGTGGAGCAGATCTCCACACTGATTTCAGGTTGATGAAGGGAGGCCTGTCTTGCTTTTTTTCGATCCTGGCTTTGACGTTCTCATCTTTGTCTGTGCCACCTGTAGTTGAAACGATGCTGTCTTGTCTAGGTAGGTGAAAGAGGTCATTTCCTATAGGTTTCTCCTGTTGATGATGATTAGTTGTTGTTGTTGGTTGGGTATCTTCATCGTCTCTGTCTTCTCTGTGTTCACCTGAAGGAAGTTTAGTGTTCCTTCACTGCCTCGCTTTTCCTGCCAACTTGTTGGTTTTGCCTGTGGATCTCCGAGCTTCTGCGATATTAGACATAAATCATCATCGTTGGCCAAATCCAAATCTTCTAGGATCTTTCCATCTGTCCAGCCAGCGTATGCACATATTCTCGCTACTCACAGTTGTCTGTTGCATGATCCAGTCTAGTCGAGTACTGTCGACCACAATCAGGAAGGTGATCGTTGATAATAGGCGGCAAGGTTGTTTTACTCTTTTCTTCACTTAAAACGCGTCACTGAACTTTCCATTATGAATCACTTGGCATGCAGTGTCGTCACATATCTGGTGAATGAGGTTGATAAAGGTTTGTGGTACTGAAACTGTAGTGTTGAAGTAGCAGTTTTCAAACTATTTCTCGGTTAACGCTGTCGAAGGCTTTTGCAAAGTCGATGAAGTTGAGGTAAAGATAAAGTTGACTGGCATTCCATGCTCTGTTCTATGATGATTCGTTGAGTCAGATATCAGCTATATCTAAATCATCGAAGGTCTGCTTATCTGTCAAGTGGATGTATGAGATGCAAGTGTCTGTTCATGGTGATCACACTAGCTGAGCAGCCATTCTTCTTATTCCATTCTAAATCAAGTTGGATTAGAACAAGAAAAGCATTGTATTGATTGTTGATCTGACTTACTCAGACAGCCAAGGTTTAGTAGACTGATTTCAATGACTCCTTAGCAAAATCTGTCATATACTTGAAGACGATAGGTTGATTCCTTTGCAAGAAATAACCTAATCTTTTATACGATCTGAACTCTAATAGAATAACGTAACACTATTTATGGCAATCTCTTTAGCATTCCTATTCGAAATGATTTATGTAAGTCTTCTTTAAAAGATACTTTTGAACTTGTTAATTATGTCAGTGATATTAATATCAAAGATAAGAGATTGTATTCATTTGATGTCAACTCCTTATTTACTAATGTACCCCTAATTAAAACCATTGACATTCTTTGTGACCATATATCTTCCAGTAATCCTTCTTTCCCTATCCCCTCAAAGTGTTTGAGAGAGCTGTTATTATTGTGTACCGATAAAGTTCATTTCACATTTGAAGGTGAACATTTTCGACAAATAGATGGTGTGGCTATGGGAAGTCCTTAGGACCATTGCTAGCTGATATTTACATGTCACACATTGAGGCTTGACCGGCGATCTCATCAATAAAGTTACTCTCTATAAAAGATATGTCGATGATATAATCGTCATATGTGATAAGCATGAAGATGCAACATGTTTGTTAGAGAGACTTAACAACGTACAAAACAACATAAGCCTGACAAGTGAAGAAGAAAAAGAAAACCGTCTGCCATTCTTGGATATACTCCTAAGTCGTAGAAATGATGGTTCAATAAAACGGTCGATCTACAGGAAACCTACTTGGACAGGTCAGTATTTAAGTTTCCATAGCTTTTGTCCAACCCAATACAAGCGAGGTTTGGTAATTTGTCTATTTAAAAGGATCGAACGTATTTGTACGGAGGACTCAATGGATGATGATATCAAAATACTAACGGAAACATTAGTGGAAAATGGATATCCATTGAAGTTCATAAACCGCTGCAAAAATCAGCAAGGATTCAAACCTGATCTGTGCTCTGTTTCGAAGAAATGCGTTTACATCGCGTTACCATACAGAGGAGAATCTAATAGCATAATATTAAAACGAAGGTTAAGGTCTGCTGTTAGCAAAACGTACTATGCAGCTAAGCTTATCATAGTTGAGAAGACCAAACACCTGCTGCTACCTAGACCTCAACGCTGTATAAACGATTGTGTCACATCCCATTGCGTTTATAAATTTACATGTGTGTGTGGACAAACATACATAGGGAGGACGAATCGTGATATGCACTTGAGGGTAGGGGAACATGTTCCAAAGTGGCTACGAAAGCAGCTGGATTCACAAACATTGATAAGCGCAGATGGCAGACAACCATCATCATCCATTGCGAAACATATCATTGATAAGAGTCACAGAATTGATATCAAGACAGCCTTTACAATTTTGTACCGAAACTGTCAGGGGCGTATACTTAAGTTTGTTGAGGCGCTAGCCATAAATAAATTTAACCCCCCAATTGTGTGTGCAAAAACAGTTTGTCCTTACATTAAGCCTACCTTGGTAATGCTTATTTTATCGTATTACCAAGATTGTCTTCAAGTCTTATCTTTTATTCCTCTCATTATCTTTCTTATTATTGAATTCCTTTATGTCATATGTGTCCTTCCCCCACTTCCAGTTTTCATATATAAATTGCCTTAACAAGTAAATGTGTGATCAGATTGTTCGAAATGTATAGCGCTAATACATCACATTTTTCAGATAATCTACGTCTTCTAATTACATTATCCATATGATAATTATACTGTGAAAATATTACGTAAAGCTTTTACAGTCATATTATTAATTATCGTATAGACTTTTAAATACAAACAGTTGATTCAAATAATTAAGAATTTTTTCATCTATTACTTAGTGATAACCTATCAGATTAAAACATTCACAAGTGATATTTCTGGCTCAGAAACAACAGCTAGCGTTTATATTCAACTTTATGGAAATGATGGTTCATCGAGTACTATTAGACGTTTACATAAAAATAATGATGGTGAACAAAGATTTCAACGTAATAAAATAGATACATTCTATATAGAATTAGAAGAATTACAAGAACCATACAGTAAACTAAGAATATGGCACAATGATAAAGGTATTTCAACAGACTGGCATTTAAAAAAAGTTGAAATTCGAAAGGTTAAAACACGTCAGTATGTAAGTTAACATTATTCATAAGTTATATTATTCAACAAGATGCTTCTGCATTTTGTCAATTGTCACCTCCATTTTTTGTATTTCTTCATTCCTTATCATAGCAATAATGAACATAACAATCCGTATTTACTTGTTCTATTCTACTCATAACATTCTTGTTTAACTAAATGCCATTTCACTTCTATTTATTTATATCCTCTATGCTGTTGGGAAACATGATAGCTTAGATTGATGCACCTCTTCATGAGATTCTAATCGATCAGTGTATATACATTCATATTTTAGTGAATTGTAGTTAGTAAAACATGTTTTGCACATTGTTGGACAAAATCCTGTATAATGAGAAGTCAGTCTTAAATGAAATCGATAATCTACGAATAAATATTGAACAATTTACAGGACCTAAGTACGCTTACTTAAACGAATAGATACATGATGATTTCTTTTAGTCATCTGTGTGAAGGGAAGACTCAACTGGGTATTACACTAACTTATAGTTTGATACCCTGACAACACTATATCTAGGAGGGAAGAGATCAACACACATGAAATCAATAAAAGATGATGACGGAAATTCAATTACCAAAGAACAGAAACAAAGGAAACGATGAGCCAACCACTTCAAAAAGCTCTTGAATCCACCACCACCACCACCACCACCACCTGCATTTCGTCCAGAAATACCACCAGCATCCCAGTCACAGAACTACCTGTGAACACAAACCACCCAGCTAAAGTGGAAGTCCTGAGCACCATGAAGCTACTGAAATGTGGGAAAGCAGCAAGACCAGATGGAATCCCGCCAGAAGCACTGAGAGCAGACTCCAAGACAACAGCGAACATGCTCACACCACACCACTATTACAGAAGGTGTGGAAGGAAGGGAAGGTAACTGCCAATTGACTAGGAGAAGGGTTACCTTGTCAAACTGCCGAAGAACGGAGACCTCAGTGTTTGCAGGAACTGGCACCAAATCACTCTCCTTTCCACCCCAAGCAAGCAGAATATTAAGCCGCATCATCCTGGAGAGACTAGAGGAAGCACTGGATTCAAAAACTATGACCAGAACGGGTTGGCTGGAATCAGGAAGTACAAATCACGTGCGGATCAAATTGCAACGCTACCCCACGCATCATCATAGAACATAGTATAGAATAGAATGCCAGTCAACTCTCTACCTCACCTCAACTTCATCGACTTTGAGAAGGCCTTCGATCGAGGTGTCGATTGAGGAGTAATTTGGCAGTTGCTTCAATACTACGGAATACCACAAACCTTTATCAATCTCATTCAACAACTATGTGAATACACCACATGCCAAGTAATTCACAATGGGAAACTCAGTGATGCTTTTGAAGTGAAGTGAAGACAGGAGTGAAACAAGGTTGCCTACTGTCCCCCATGATATTCCTGATTGTGGTGGACTGACTGGATCATGCAACAAACAGTGAGGAGCGAGAAGAGGGGGATACGCTGGCTGGACCGGGAAAATAACCTTGAAGATTTGGATCTCGCCAACGATGACTTGTGTCTAATGTCGCACAAACTTGAAGGTCTACAGGCGAAAACTAACAGGTTGACAGAAGAGGTAAGGCAGCGAAGACGGGACTTCAATTGGACGTAGAGAAGACAGAGGTGATGATGATACCCAACCAACCAACATCACCACCAACAACAGCAACAGCAACCTTAATCATCATCAACTGGATAAACTTGAAGGAAGTAGTCTCTTTCACCTATCTAGACAGGGTAGTATGGTTTTAACTACAGGCGGCACAAACACAGAGAAGGTATTCAAAGCGAGGATCGGAAAGACAAATAGACAGGCGTTCATCAGCCTGAATCCAGTGTGGAGATCTTCTACACTCAGCATAAAGTGTGAACAAGATGCGGATTTTCAACACCAACGTCAAGTCAATGCTTCTGTACGGCTGAGAGACTTGGCACGTTACGAAAAGGATTTCCAACAAATTACAGACATTCATCAACAACTGCCGCCTACACTGGCTCACTACTGAAGATCAGATGGCCAGAATCATAAGAATAAGCAAGGAGGAACTTTGGAAAGGAACTAACCGAGAATCTATCGCTCAACGAATATGCAGAAGGAAATGGAGATGGATTGGATTGTGAATACATTGAGAAGGCCGACTGGGGACATCACGCGTCAGGCCAGGTTGTCGAGTGGGATTCAGATGGGAAGCGACGAGTTAGGCGTTGGAGGTGAGGGTGAAATGGAGGAGATCGTGTGAGGAGGAAATGAGAGCTTTTGAGCCATCGTGGAGCGAGGTTCATTAGTTTGCATAGAATAGAGTGCGCTGGAGACGTGCTACTGAATCCCTGTGTTCCGTTAAGATCCTAAGGGACAAATAATAATATAATAGTATTTTAATAGCAGCTACCAACAGTGGTGACTCACTGAAATCAATGAAACTGGACACTTATCAACGATGCCTAACGATTACATTTGATTTAAAGTGACAGGAAATGTTAAACTGACACCTTTTTCGTTGGTATTTATAGTTTAGACTAATGGTCTAACTAAACACCACCGTTTTTCTGACGTCAACCTGATGGAGCTTATTTTTTTTTAAAATACCTAGTTGTTCTTGATCTTTTGGTGTAACAGCTTTAAATAAGCTTATTATTCATCTTGTATACAACAGTCGTGAAGCTGAGCATCATCTCATTTTAGGGTGTTCTTTTACACTTTTACTGAGTATTTTGATTTGGTCACTACTTAGAATCTCCACGAGAGCCGAAACTAAAGAAGTGGTGAATAGATAATTTGGCTGTAGTACATTTTAGCTTTTCTTTAATTTCCTGATGTAAAAAATGGAACCATCAATTAGTTACCATCCTTCATATAACCGAGATTTATTTACACACTGGACGGTTCTGTGGTAGAAGATAAGTTATTACTTGGTTTTTTTTGCAGACGTTTATCACATATGTATTTCCATGCAATAAATGGATCTCACGCAATATGGATAATGCAGCCCTGGAACATGAACTTTTACCTAGTCATATGATTCAAGATCAAAATGGTGTAATACAACTAGAGAAGGAAATAACACCGAAATGGTCTATTCATACCTATGAAGTTAGAATAACAACTGGAGATAAGGCATTTGCAGGCACTGATGCTTCTGTTTATCTTACTTTATACGGTGAAAATGGTGATAGTGGTGAACGTAAACTGATGAAATCACTTACACATCGAAACAAATTTGAACGTGGACAGGTGAGTGGGAAAGATGAATGAATCATTCGTGTACACAAACATTTTTTAAAGTTTTTATGATGTTACTTGTATTATTCCGTCGCTGACTGAAGTGAATTCAGTCAGTCTTTATTTAGCAAATGGGCTTCTGCGTGGATGCCTCGATGTTGCTTGTTCTTTCAGTTTTGATACTGATGACAGATAGTGGCTAGCAGTGGGGTCCAAGACACGCTTTTCGTCCTATTTGGGACTCTTCAGCTGGATATACGTGTCTCTCGGTGAGCAATGTTTGGTTCCTAGTAAGACTGGAACAAGGGGCAACGTAGCTCACTCAGAAGCAGATACATCCAGTTGAAATATCATAGTACATGGTAGTTTGAATACTTTTGAAGTAAACATGATGTTGGGGTAACAGGAAAGGATTGTGAAACAATGGTAATCAGATCATTGATAATATTGTAGGCATGATGTATTTCACCTTATCGAGATGCTAAAACATGGGTTATTTCCGTTTGATACCTAGAACAACCAGGTAGTGAGCTATGCACTATCTAATGACTCCAAATCAATGGAATACAGAGTTTCCGGAATATGCCATAAGATCTTACTATATATCCACTTCTCGTCTTTCAGTGCACTTGCTTCCGAATATACACGTGAATCGGTGAGAACGGTTGGATGTAGCAGGATACGAAGAGTTATCTAGTTTGAAGTGTTTAGCATTGAGGGCTTTCAAAGTGAGCAACGATCACCTGATTGGTCAATATTTCCCATGTAAAATGTGGTCTGAATATCCATCCTTAAGTTTGGTCAAAGTTAATTCCATTCACACTTGATGGATCTTTTACTAACTCTGGACAAAGGTTGTAATGTTGACACAATTTATCTATTCTTAACCAGGGTATGAAGAGACAATTTTTCGATATTTAACTTGACAATTATTGGTCTATTAACATAACTATATAAAGATTTGTATTTTCGGCCAGTTTTGCCTTTTTCCAGAGCAATAAATCCCGCCTTTCAAGATTTGTCTTCTGTCTTTTGAAAAAAACTGCCAGAAATTAACTGGACTTAAATGTCCAAGCCATTGAACTACTCATCCTACCACTAATTCTTTCACTTACATTATATTCTATGAAGTTCATTCTCAGCAAAATAGCCCTTTTTTTCTGAAGTACTCAACTGTTCTTCTTTACTGCTACATTTTAGGTATTTATGCAGAAACTTCAATAGGTATCCAGTGTCACATAAACTGTGATGCTATCGAACAGTGAAAATAGACAAAAGGCAGACTTCTTGTTGAGTGTAAAAATCAAGCTTAACTCTACTCGGATTTTATATCCATTTACAATTTGTGCATAATGAAGAGAACAAATTTGTTGTAAATATATTTGTAATGAAAATGCACTCAAAATGATGTTCTATAATTTCAGTAATATTTCCGGGAAAATTACTTCTGACCGTACCAGTTGTTGGGATTATCTGTTCACATATACATGAATATATATATATATATATATATATATATATATATATTCAGTTATAACAATAGATATTTAGTGAATATCAGGGCACTTCCATAGAAGCCCATATGCCAGTAGAGGTGGAACAGTTCGATCCACTAAAACAACGGAAAATTACAAACATATAAACAAATAATAATAACTAATAACCTTTTTACAAGAGGCGAGTATTACGCCTAGCGGCTTAGTGGATAACGCTCTGTCGTTTGAAATGACGGGTGAGGTTTGAGTTTCAGTAGGAACAATATTCCTCACTGGGATGAATGTACATCCGATTGACGAGTCCCGAAAAGGACCAAACATATATCCTTGACTCCAGTGCCAGCCATAACCAAGTCACTTATAGTTATATATATATATGCATATATGTTCCACAGAATATTATGGAAAAGATGGATTAGATTATAGCAATGATGGATAGTGGTTGGCAGTAGAGTTCAGGATGTACATTTCGTTCTATTTAGGACTCGTCACCTGGATGTACTTGGATTGGATGGTTTCAGAGTTTGATTTATGTTTTATGTATACATAAAATAAGCCTGTTTGATGATTCTGTATGCGATATAGCCAGTTAGATTGTGTTATTCTACCTTTGGCTTAGGACACTTATGTGCGTGGGAATTGTATATATATGCTACAGTTTATCAAATGTCATCCTTGGTGTCACGGGTCAGCTTTTATCCTTGGATATTTGCCTGATTCAGTGAAGAATAAAGTGCCGAAACGGGACTAGTCATAGAGATATTCAGTTCTAGTGCATCATTGCGTTCAGTGTCGTTATTATATGTCTTATTTCACTCGATCATTTCGACTCTGCTAACGGAATAATACTTAAAATGATTTTTAAAATATCTTTACAGTTAGTGTAACACTTAATCTCTGAGAAATATTCTTCTTCTTTACAGACAGATGTATTTCATATGGAAATAGTAGATTTGGGAAGAGTTAACAAAGCTCGCCTACGTCATGACAATTCAGGTGTCAATCCTTCATGGTATGTATCCAAGATTGAAGTTTGCAATATGACAAAATCTAAAAGTGTACCTGATTCGCAAAACACATCCAAGGATTCGTATGCTTTGATGAATTCCATATTTAATTGTGAAACTTGGCTATCCATTGAACATGATGACAAACTTTTGGATAGATACTTTTTTGTTGAAAATATTCAAAAACAAGATAACACTGATCAATTATCCACTATGTTATCGAAAAATTTCAAAGGTGATATGACTGATAAAACACCAGTTGGTGTAAATAATTTAAATCAAAGTATACAGAAGAATAAACAGAAGACTGTAGATGGTAAGTATCAACACTTTAAGTTCAACATCTTGAGTTTCCAAAGTTTGTATCTAATTTTTTATAAATATATTGCAAATGAGTAAAAATGTTACGATTCCGGACTGGTAATATTCTGAATAGCATGGTTTCCTGTCTCACTTGTAACATTAACTGTTCGTGTAATTAATTCCTCGTATAGTTACTATGTCTCATAATACAGTCCATATACTCGGTAAGTGATACACTTTGTCTCAGCACTAATCTCTGTATGACAGAAAACAAAAATGAATTGCTCACTACTCGTTCTTATTTGTCTGTGATCTGAATCAAACTTATATGCGACTGAATCGCATACGACTGATCATGCTTACGTGAGATTAATAGTTACGAACTATATAACAGTAGCCAGTTGAATATAACTGATGGGTAGTAGCTAGCAATGGGACCTATGATGCGCTTTTCATGTTACTTAGGACTCACTAGCTGAATACACCTGCCTCCCAATGAGCAATATTGTTCTTACTAAGACTCGAATTCCACAGTGATCGATTCAAATGCCAGAGTGCTATCCACCAGGTCACTGAATCACGATAGTCTTTTCTTGTGCAACGGGTGTAATTTATATGATATTCCTCATATTATCTCATTGTTAATTGAACTGAATTGATTAGTCTCTATTGGTATATAGGCATCCACGGAAGAGTTCATATACCAATAGAGACCGATGAAATTCGGTCCAATCAACGACAAGATAATACAAGCAACATCATAAGTAGTCAATGAAGTTCCAATTTTGAAAAATATTTCAGGAAGACATTTATATTAACATACTCATTGCTAAGATAAACGTTCTGTAAGACAGTGAAAACCTGAACGCTTGGCCTTTATTTTTACGAAGTATTTGTTAAGTCTCAAAACATACTCTAAACTGAAAACATGAATATATATCTAATGCTTATTTTTGAATTATATCCGGTGCCAATTTTATAGACCCTGAATTATGCATTTCATTGATTGACAAATTTCTCTCTTATATTACTGCAAGAGAAGTTTTTCATCAACCTCTCTAGTGAATTTTATTCGGTGAAATATTTGACTTCAAGATGAATTTATGTAAGAAAAACATAAGTTTACAAATTTTACACTGAACTGTTAGTATGTCAAAAAAGTTTAAGGTGAAGAAATCAACCAAACCCAACTAACATCTACTAATGTGCACTGTGATCCTGAGCTTCTAAGCTTGGTTGCCACATTGCAGATATGATCGATAGGATTCAGTCTACACTCACGAATAGACAATATGAAATTGGTTGCACTACCGTGACCAATCAATACATGTAAACCAGTCCTACAGGAGGTCATTCGTGGCCCGAATAGCTCAGTGGTGAAGTCACTGACTACAACACTGGGTGATGCGGTTTGAATCTCAGGCGGGACATCAGTTCCAGAAAGCACGAGACCTAGGTCAAGCAGGTCTTCCTGCCGATTGCCTCCAACTAACTAAAATTAATATATTTCTTCTCCAGGAATTTGATGATCATTACTTGTTTTAATACAACATTTTCGTTTGTTGGTTTGGACGTACATTCAATAAATCTTTTCAATGTTTGGTTTATATTTTATTTATAACTAATATCCTAGTGTGATTACTAGTTTTGTTTAGGGGACTGATGAAGCTAAACTTCACGAATTAGAAATTCCTATCGATACTAATTTCATTTTGTTAATGCTATTTTATGGTCACCGAAGTTGATTGGTATGCCAAAATTAGAAAATTACTCCAAAAACCTATTATTATCTATTCTTTTCATCATATTTTCAATTTTGATATGGTATTGTACATCTTTAGTTCTTATCTTCCAACAGTTTTTTTTCTTTTTTAATGTTATGCTTACGCTTAGTATATTTTGACTAATTTTACTGACAAATGATTACATCATAGTTAAGGTCAGGTTTTTCGGCTTGTTTTCTTCCACTTTGTACATGAAGTTACATTTGTTTGATAACTTGAAATGATACACTTTTGTGTAATGTTTAACTCTAATTTATTTGTATCTAACTAAAAAAGGTTGATGTTACGTTTGTGTATCCTTGTGACAAGCTCTTCAGTTTGAGGAGCGATTGACATCTATATTATGGTTCCACCAGGAATACTGAAATTACGATGAATCTAATTACTGTTCTATAATCAGCTATGAATAGTTAGATATGTAGTTTATGGTGACTATCGAGAATTATCTTATGAAGTCCCTGACATCTTTGATAGTTGTTGTAGGCTTAAAGGTAATTTTTAGAATGTATCATATTGGTCTAAGGTTTGGAAGGAAGGAAAGGTACCTGGCGATTGGAAAAAGCGCTATTTTGTCAAACTCCCGAAAAGGGAGACGTAAGTGTTTGCAAAAACTGGCAAGGAATCATGCTCCTGTCCACCCCAGGCAACATATTTTCCCACGTCATCCTGGAGAAAATAAAAAAATACTCTGCATTCAAAATTACGACTGGAACAGGCTACCTTGCTGCCTTCAAGAAGGGCCAATCATGTGCGGATCAAATTCCAAAGCTACCCCACGCATCATCATAGAACAGAGTAAAGAATGCCAGTCAGCTGGATCTCTACCTCAACTTCATCGACTTTGAAAAGGCCTTCAACAATGACGACCGAGAAGTAATTTGGCAGGCGGTTGCTGTCACACTGCCGCTTTAGAGCCACAAATCTTTATCCTCATTCAACAGCTATACGAAGACGCCAGATACAAAGTGATCCACAATGGAAAGCTCAGTGACACGCTTGAAGTGAAGACAAGAGTAGAAAAAGACTGCCTTCTATTACCGATGATGTTCCTGATTGTGGTTGACTTGATCATGCGCAAGACAATTGTGAGGAGCAAGAAGATGGGAACATGCTGACTGGACAGACGAAAAGAGCTTAGAAGATATGGGTTTCGCCAACGATAGTGATTGATGTCTAATGTCTTGTCGCAGAAGCTCGAAGATCTACAGACAAAAACCAACAAGCTGACAGAAGAGGCAGAGAAGACACGACTCCCTTCAGGTGGACATAGAGAAGACAGATATGATGAAGATACCCAACCAACAACAAAGACAACAACAAGCACCAATCACTATCAACGGGAAAAACCTAAAGGAAGTCATCTCTTTCACCTACCCACACAAGATAGCATCGTCTCAACTACACGTGGCACACATGAGAATGTCAAAACCACGATCAGAAAGACAGCAAGACATGCCTTTCTTCATTAATCTGAAATTAGTGTGGAGATCTACTGCACTCAGTATAAAGCATGAACAACATCCGAACTTTCAACACCAACGTCAGGTCAGTGCTTCTATGTGGTGGTTGAGTGACTCGGAGCATCACGAAGAACATTTACAACAAACTACAGACATGCATCAACCAACAGCTGAGGCCTATGCTCGCTCACTCGATACTGAAGATCAGATCACAAGGTCAGAAAGAATAAGCAACAAGCAACTCTGGCCTGACAACAAACCAACCAACAACCTATCGCCCAACGAATATGCAGAAGAAATTGGAGATGGATATCGCATTCACTGGGAAGACGATTTGGGGACATCACGCGCCAGGCCAGGCCCTCAAGTGGAAGCCAAATGAGAAACGATGAGTTGAGTGTGTTAGGGTGACATGGAGGAGATGGTGTGTGGGGAAGGAATGAAGGGTTGTGGGCAGTGGTGGGGCGAGGTTAAAAATACTGTAGAGAAGAGAGTGAAACGGCGACATGCTACTTAATTAAACCCATGAGAAAAATTCTAATCACCATATCATATTGGTCTATTGAATGTTTTGACTGAAAACATACATATTCTCAAGATGACGTTATGAAGTCTCTTATTTTATTATCTGTGTAACTGATAAGACAGAAACTAATGTCATTTTCAGGAGTTCTTAATTAAATACCAGTTTAAATGAACAAATGCTTCAGTGGTCTAGTGGATAACGCTTTGGCGTTTGAAGTAATGAGTACTAGGTTCTAGTCTTAGTTAGATTCTCAGAGGCGATTTGTTTGAACTTTCTACATTAATTCAATCATTCACTTATGTTATTTAATCACATTATTTGCTCTGGCACATTTTTAAAATCAGTACAACCTGTCGTTCTACTAGTTGATAGACAAATTAGGAAAAAGCACCTTGGTGTATGCTGATGGACTCTCAGGCGTATGACCATCAATAAAATGACTTCCGATGATACTTCGCACAAACTACAGGTTGTTACCAAAGACAGTTTACTACCTTTGGTCGTTCTTATCCACAAATGTTTATTAGAATATGGGTATAATAATGCTACAGGAAGCATGGCTTCATAACCTGTTTGATGACAGTTTAGTTAGCCTAAATGGTTTAAATTGCTTCGACAAGATCGAAGCTTTTCCAGTAAGAAATGCTTTGTGGGTGTAACAACATTTATCTATAAAAACTGGTCCACCTCAAACTATGTATGTTTTAACTTCTCCAATGGAAATACTGAGTGGATTACCACTAAATGTTGTCCTAAAAAAGGGGAAATACAAACACATACACATAACAAACATCTATGTCACAGTTGACTGCAGTCTCTCAGATCTGTCAACTTTTATTGACAAATTCATTGTTTTTTGCTTCTATTCTGGGTAGTTCTTTGTTTGTAGTCTGTGGGGATTTTAATTCACGTGACTTCACTTCCCTTGTATTACTGGATCATGAAAATGTGGTTAACCTTTCTATTGGTTTTGACAACACCCTAGATTTAGTTTTTACAAGTGACCTTGGTATATACGAAGCCCGTAAACGGGCTCTGCGGCTGATTTCTGACCACTGTGTTGTACGCGTTTTGCTCAAAGTGTGTGGCAAGTAACATAAAAAGGTTCTCGGATACCTTTCCAAGAAAGTATAGAACAAACGCTATTCACAAGAGAATGTACTATGTTTGAGAAGCATACTCAAAGAAACAGACTAGGATATATTTGCTGATGAAATATAAGACAACACTATCACCAGTAGTATAACAAGCTACGTCAGTTTCTGTCTAGACATATGCTGCCCTGCTGAACCAATCTACTTGAGATTAGACAGACTTTCCTCTCTTCATCTCAGGAGGTTCCGAAGGGAGAAGGAAAGGCTTTATAGGATGAGAGATCACCCTGGTGTTAAAGGACTTTACTACCAAATTAAGTCTGAAATACAACGCCTAAATACTCTTTTCAGCCAGAAGTTTCTTCCGTGCAAGAACTCTTTCAATAAATGAAAATTAAGGAGCTTATTGGTAGGAGCTTGTTTGGATGTGTGCGCGTTAAATAAGTCACTTATGCATCGCAAGCTGATTTCCTAGTGCCCACAGCCAGTGGGATAGCTGTTTTCTTCATGTTAATACAAATGAGATACGTAAATGTCTTAAATTCATGAATCCATCCCAAAGCCTGGGTCCTGATGGTGTTTCCAGTATTATATTCAGAAAATCTGCAGACATTTTATGTCATCGTCTTACGGACATTTACAATGCATCGTTTTCTGAAAATACAATACCCGCTGCTTGGAAGCAGATTAAAGTTGTATCTGTGCCAAATTCATCTTTCGGACAAAAGTGTTAGGAATGTTCAGTGTGCCTCACTGGATTACAAGTCCGCCTTTGACTCTGTTCCTAAGTTATTCTTGTTAAAGAAGCCTGCATAGCTCATACTGAGGCATGGGTTACAAAGTGGTTGTATTCTTATTTTTTGAAAGGAAAGTATGCTGGAAATAAAAGAAGCAGCCCCACTTCGTTGCATGCTGAAGCTGGTGTGTCTCAAGGAGCTGTACTTCCTCCGTTTCTTTTCTCGTTCTTTTGCACAATTAACCTTATTCGTTTGAAAATAATTTTACCAAGTATACTGATGACCTGACGGCGTCTATTCCAGTTAACTCTCACTTATATTGTTCTTAATAAAATGGATTGTTGTCTGTAATTAACCAATGATCTCCCTCAAATGGTGTTGGGCTAAACTCTCCTAAATGTCGGAATGCTAATTTTAGGCCCAGGCGTAAAGAAAGCTTCTATGAGCTGCTTAAGTTCCATGACCCCTGTTGCATTCATGGTATTTCTGTGGAAAGTAAATCAAGTGTTGATTATCTTGGATTGAGTTTTACTTCTGATCTTTGTTATCGTCTCATATCTTGTTGACTTGTAAAAAAGTCCTTCGTTCAACATGTCACATGAAGAAACTGAGGCTCTCTGGTATAACTCAACTTCTGCTCTGACTATATTATTATTTGTCCTTTCGGTTCCTAACAGAATTAAGGGTGAAGTAGCACGTCGCCACTTCACTCTCTTCTCTACAGTATTTTTAACCTCGCCCCACCACTGCCCACAACCCTTCATTCCTTCCCCACACACCATCTCCTCCATGTCACCCTAACACACTCAACTCATCGTTTCTCATTTGGCTTCCACTTGAGGGCCTGGCCTGGCGCGTGATGTCCCCAAATCGTCTTCCCAGTGAATGCGATATCCATCTCCAATTTCTTCTGCATATTCGTTGGGCGATAGGTTGTTGGTTGGTTTGTTGTCAGGCCAGAGTTGCTTGTTGCTTATTCTTTCTGACCTTGTGATCTGATCTTCAGTATCGAGTGAGCGAGCATAGGCCTCAGCTGTTGGTTGATGCATGTCTGTAGTTTGTTGTAAATGTTCTTCGTGATGCTCCGAGTCACTCAACCACCACATAGAAGCACTGACCTGACGTTGGTGTTGAAAGTTCGGATGTTGTTCATGCTTTATACTGAGTGCAGTAGATCTCCACACTAATTTCAGATTAATGAAGAAAGGCATGTCTTGCTGTCTTTCTGATCGTGGTTTGACATTCTCATGTGTGCCACGTGTAGTTGAGACGATGCTATCTTGTGTGGGTAGGTGAAAGAGATGACTTCCTTTAGGTTTTTTCCCGTTGATAGTGATTGGTGCTTGTTGTTGTCTTTGTTGTTGGTTGGGTATCTTCATCATATCTGTCTTCTCTATGTCCACCTGAAGGGAGTCGTGTCTTCTCTGCCTCTTCTGTCAGCTTGTTAGTTTTCGTCTGCAGATCTTCGAGCTTAATAATTCCTGCATTTTAACTATTCTTCTCTATTATTCCCCTTTTCAGCTTTCCTGGTCCACTAAAAATGGAGTATGTTACATTGCACAGGGCTTCGAAAGCGGTTAGCGGGTGTGTTGTGCCTCTGGATCAATTGACTGACACTGCAGTTGACAGACATTCCAATTCTTGCAGGCACCCAGGCACAGTAATTTTGTCTGACACTGAGCGTCTACATCATTTTCAGCTCTCTCCTTGTATCCCCCCTCATGGAGGACGAGGAGACATCTTATAAGTCTGTATGTCCGTACAAATTAGTGCATGAATTGCACTGTGACTCACCTGGCAGGCATATTATTATAGGGAAGAAGTGTAAGAATGGTACTCAGTTATCAACTTTGCCACAATAAGTAATATCTCCGCAGTATTTCAATTAACAATGTCAAATATACGTAATTAGTGGTATTTTTTACATAACCGAAATTCTCATAATAACACTATTTGAAGTGTTGCAAAGGAGTATATTTACATATAGATATTTTCGTTGCGATATATCATGATGAGAATTCCAGATTGTACTCATAACTATATATAGTGATTGTTGATATTGGCTAGGAGTGAAATCCAGGATACGCATTTCATCTTCATTAGGACTCGTCAACTGGGTATATCTGTACTAATAACTGTTTGGAATGAAAAAGACATCACTCACTGACTAGTCCTAAATAAGGCGAAACGCGCCTCCTGGATTCCAGTGCTATTCACCAACATGAATAGAACTACTCTACTATTCTTATATGGAAAGTGTAATTTCATTTAAAATATTGTGAACTGCATTCATTTTATTCTCTCTCTATTTTTTTTTTAAAACATCCTTAGCTGTGCCATATTTGATTACAGTTATCACGGGATCTGATAAGAAGGCAGGAACACCTGGTCCTGTTTGGATTTGTTGTATTGGTAAAGATCAAATGAACTCAGAAAAGTTTGTTTTATGTGATAGTTATAACAAAACAGTATTGAAAAGAGGAACAACAAGACAATTTCGGTTCACTGGAAATAAAATCACTGATTTAACTGAAATACAAGTAAGATAAACATCTATGTGATTGTTATTTATTTGTTTTGCTGTTTAGTAAACTGAATATTTTTTCATGAACTCGGTAGACTGAAACTAGACTTATGTGTGCAAAAGGAGGTTGAAGTTTATCTTGCATCACCTAGATGAATTACTCCTTTCCTACAGCAATTAATTACTACTTTATGGTTTCATCTTATTGTCTTATTTATTACTTTTAAACATTACTCATATACGATCTACTTTATTTCCGTTATTTTTAGTCAAAGCTTTAAATATGATCTTTACCATTCCTTTACTACTAATTTATATATTTTGGACACTAAATCTGTTGTTTTTCCCCTTTAACTTGATTCCCTACAACACAGAGCTGAGATGATATTCCTGCACCACTATTACACCATATTTATATGTGGTAGCGCTACTTTGGTAGAAATGTATTGCTACGGGATCATAATTGAAGGGGAAATGAAAATCTGGGTCATGCTCAGTTTTGAACCAACCAGTCCAGTGCTCAAACAACTTGGCTACGATAACCGACTTCTGACCGGATTATTATTTCATTTCAATCACAAAGTGTTTTGACAAACTGCCATATGAATTTATGACGCATTACTATCGCTTGATCATACTCATTCTGGTTGCCTAGTCACGACTATTTATCCCAGTCCAAATGCTGAGCATCACATTGATTATCATTTTGACTATCTAGCTGATGTTAAGGTTGAAATGAAAATTTCTGCTGAATCAGGATTCAAACCGGAGACCACCATTTAAATCTAATACGTAAGCGGATGACTTAGATGATACGAAATGAATTTGATTCATCTACACCATGTTTGTTCTTCTCGCTTTGTAGAAATGTATAAAGAGAACTAAGTGTATGAAACTTTAGAAAGATTACATGCTAACAGTTGTTTTGATCTAATCGCCAGTGCATAATAAAATAATAGGGAGTGATTGCTACAAAGATCACATTAGCGGGGTTAAAAATGGATCAGTATTTTCCATCACTCTGATCCAGCTGCCGAAATACACCACCCAAGTTGTTCAATAGTAGTACCTCTCGCTAGCTGGTGATACTTTTGGGTCACAGATAGCATCTTGTAATCTTGGTTTTCAGTGGAAACTTTGTTGACGCCACAGTTGGGTAGTTGAAAAACTTCTAAGCTATGAGAAATGTCAACGTGGGCTGTGTTGTTTCTAAATTGTCTACAAACTGAACATTCTATTTCAGTTTTTACTACATAAGATTAGTAGGTTTTTATGAACAACCGGTATTCTTTCCGGACTCATGTGTTGATCATCACTGACTTTAATTCATGTGCGAGGGGCCAAATATGGTCTGGTTGTCCTTCTTAACTTATTCGACAAAAGATAATCACAAAATGTACGTGGATATAGTAATGCTGGCGAGGTGAAATAAAATATTTGCAGGATTTCTCATATACAGACTAACATCTTCTAAAGTATACCTGAAATATATATCAGTAATTCTTTCTCCGATTGAGAAGAATTGTGATAGGCTACTAAACTGTCTTACTTGCGGCTCGCTATTAGCAATCAAATGACATATTTATACAAATTTTTTAAAAATCCACCATCTGACAATAAAATTAACTGAAGAAATTTGTTCTCAGTGAAACATATAATTAGACATTGAGCTTCTACATTTTCATTTGTATCGAAATAGATTCTTAGTTCACTGTGATGTTAGTTGATTAGAGACAATCGGCAGGAATCATTTGACCTGCGTTTCATGCTTGTTGGCACTTATCAGCAGGGCGTATCCATGAACTCGGTGAAACTCATGTCTTCTATGAGATTAAACTAGCACCACCCAGTTTTTAAGTCAGTCACATTATCACTGAGCTATTTAGGCTGCGACTGACCTTCACTGAAGAAGAACCAATCTCATTTTATCTAGTCCTGAGTACTGATCGAACTCTGACGATCATTTTGTAATGTGGCTACCAAGATAAGGAGACTCACTACCGCGGTGCACTTTGATAATGAGTATCAGAGCTTGATGGTCACGTTGCAAAATGATCAATAGAATTGGGTCACCCTTCAGGAATGGACAACATAAAGTTGGTTGCTCTACAGTGACCATTAAATACATAGTTCATTGTAACGCAGAAAGTTAATAAAACAAAGCTACGACTGAAAACTTAAAGCTTATTCTATGATAAAAACTAATCCATTTCACTATTCAGTTTACGAGATTCAGTTATGAATACTTAGCTTTGACTTTGTCAGCTAAGGTAGTCATTGAAAGTATCAGCTGAGTTGACGAGTCCAGTAGAGTAATGTCCTGGCTCTCTCAATGAAATGGCCATAATGTGGTTGAATAATAAATAATACCGTCAGATGTAAAAAGATTTGTGAAAAATCCCTAAAAGGTCTCCAACAAAAATGAAGCATTTTAACGGAATAAATCGATGACTTAGAAGGCTAGATCAGTTTAAAATAGTACTATCATCAAAATGGTATCTCTAAAGAACCAATTTTTTAATATAGATTTCATATAAAATTTTACAATGTTAATCTTGTGTTATCTGGTCGTTTGCACTATTGTTGTTCTATTCCCTTCACTATAGGTTGGAAACGATGCCCCAGAGAGTTCTGCCATGGGTTGGCACTTACAATCCTTATATATCTGTCTACCAACTCTTGGAAAAATGTATCAGTTCGAATGCAAGGAATGGTTATCAGCAAATCGTGGAGATAAAAAGAGGATACGCAACTTAAAGATATCAGATCAAAATGTTTATAAATTTCCCCAGAGTAAGTTATCAGCAATATTTTCAATTATTTAAGAACTTTATTTATGATATAACATGATGAATGAGAGAGAAATGAAAACCTAAGTAGCGTCTGCGTTAGCATCAGTGGTCTACGAGTTATCGACACGGTGCCCTATCAACTGGGCTATAAGATCCAGCAAATCCTGTCAAAACGCATCCATTAATAATTGACATTTTCCTCGATCATTCATTTTATCTGAAAGTAAAATTCGGACCCAATTTGGCTAACATACATTCAGTATGATGGTGAAAATCTTCTTGATGCCCTTTCTGATAGTGAAATTTGTTTCCATTGAGTTTTCCGTCTAAATATTCTCACCTTCTGTGGTGAAATCGGGACAGAATCCCATTAGTAGAATAGCTTTTATTGGAAAAAAAAATACTACCACTGTATGTACACATAGAAAATTTAAGGGCTTTGAAGTGTAGGCACTTATTTCGTATGATAACTTTGAGATCCTCCTATTATTTCTAACATTAATTTTATTGTAAAGTTCTTTTGATTGTTTATATTCAGCTTTCTAAAGTAACTAACTACCGATAAACTGATCTACTTACGGTTTCATAAATGATTTGCAGTTACGAAAATAATTGGGATGATGTAAAATTTGAAACTCGTACGGGGGTGTTTTCTTTTCTATACAACCAATGTGTTTACAAATTTACCTGATACTTGGTGATAATTGAGGGTGAAATGAAAATTTTGGCCTCAGCAGGTTTCAAACTAGTGATCACAGAGTTTTCGGTCAGGTGCTGTATCACCCAACCAACGAGACCCAACTGATGACGAGATTTTTCATGGAGATTTGGACTGCAATGAATAGTCGTGAATGGGCAGCCGGTATGAGTACGATCAAACGGTGGTAATACATCAGTTGGTAGAGCAGTGAGTAGGGAACTCAATAATTGTTGGTTGGAATCCTGCCATGACCTTAACTTCTCTTATACCTTCAGTCATCCACCCGTATCAAAACAAGTCCATATAATCATGGTTATCTCAGATAGTCAAACCGATAAAAACATTCAGTTGTCAAGGCACTTTATATGAAGGGTGAAAATAAAGTGGGGTAAGGTAAATAAATAAGGATAATGAAATCTTCGGGAAATATAGCGATAATAAGGAGGAATAATAAGTTTTCACACCTTCGTCGTCATTAAAATGAGGTGCAATTACACCCAAATTACGAGTTTCAGATAGAACGAAACGCAGGTCCTGAATTCTTTTGCTAGCCAACAAGATGAATATGACACAAGTTTCTAGTACATGATTGTAATGGTACCATGCATGACAAATGAGGCTAATGCAGTTTGACTCAATGTCACTTGACTGAATCATCTATAAATAAAGCTGGAATATGTAGACCAACATTTGCAAAAACAGTGACGGTTTGAAGATTAAAGCAAAAGTAAATCTTTCTATATTTTCTTACTTCTCATATCTGAATATTAGTCTAATCACTTGACCTCGTGTATATCAACCTTCAGTTTATCGAGAAATAAAGAATTTGGCATCTGTTGTTTCGAATGTGGGTAAAGGACAATGTTTATTCGCCACTGTATTCTTAATAATTCCATCATCTATTTGGTAAGACAAATGAACAAGATTTTGAACAAATATTCTCATTTAGAAATCATTTAACGATTACTAAAATACATACATTGCTGCAAAATATTAGTTATTAGGTGCATGACAGCAACCTGAAGGGATAAATGTTTGTAGAAATTCACAGTTTTTCCCAGTCTTTCTCATTGCTTAACTTTATAGTGATAACGTTTACCTAGAGAGAATATTCGAATATGTTAGTTGGTTGGTGGCAATCGGCAGGAAAACCTGCTTGACCTAGGTCTCGTGCTTTCTGGCACTCGTCAGCAAGGCGTATCTACAACCTCGACGGAACTGATGTCCCGTCTGAGTTTCAAACCTGCATCACCCAGTGTTGTAGTCAGTGACTTCACCACTGAGCTATTTGGGCCACGAATGACCTCCTGTAGGACTGGTTTACATGTATTGATTGGTCACGGTAGTGCAACCAATTTCATATTGCCTATTCATGAGTGCAGACTGAATCCTATCGATCATAATCTTATCAGTCATACGAAATACTTATGATAAAGAAAAACTTTAACTGCATCAGACTTACAGTGTCATTTTGGTTATCTCATCTCAGTTTACTTATTTATCGGCTGTACGTGATCTTGAGATTCTGTACTTATGCATATTAATGATAGATGTATCACTTAGCCGGCGTTTATATTCGAGTTACATTCGAATGACTTTGTCGTTAATTTCAGCTCTGGCAAGTCTGTCATTTGTTGCACCTATGTAATTGGTCTAACATGAAATTGAGTTTAAAAGACGGAATTACTCAACTTACTCAGTATTTCAAATTGACTGTGCTATGTTGTACAATATACAGTTTCATTCACTTTCTTGTTGTTCAGTAAACATTTACTTCTTTCTGATTTTTGAATAATTTCTTCTACATTCTTCAGAAATCACCTACCAGTTGAAGATATCCACAGCTGATGAAGAAAAAGCTGATACGGATTGTTGTGTAAGACTTCAAATTTTTGGAACTAAAGGAACTTCAAATACCTATATACTGGAAAAAGTCAGCAATCGATTTGGTCGAGGAGTAATAGATGATATCAGTCTTGAGATGGAAGATGTTGGAAAGTTATTAAAGCTAAGAATCAGGCATGATAATCAGGTAGTGTTGATTGGTGTAGTGCTATACTTTGTTTAAACTAAAGCAAATTAAAGGTTCTTATTTACAGCCTTAAGTAATATAGTATCCCTCACCTAGCTACTTTCACAACCCTGATGAAATAAGTGTCCAGCTTAAATTAAAACCTGGAATTACTATTTCAGAAAATTCTTTGTGAAACTACTTACCAGCTAAGGATGTAGTGACTAGGAGATATAGGAAAAGATTCTTAAATTCTCTGGAAAGAATAGCTTAGTAACTTTTTACCTACCTCATTCTACTAGATTTGTATCAAGGTGGAGATATCTGATTGAACAATTTACATGCTGAAGTAAAATCAGATGCATATCTGTCACTCAGATGATTATTGAGAAAAAAGAAATAACATTTGCATTTGAGTCTCATGATTGTGGAGTAAGAGCATTTAATCGAACGTCAAAGATCAAGCATATTACGATGAAAGATTTCATAAGCTATAACATATGAATGACACTGTTATTTGGTTAGTTTAGAAGTTTAGTTCATATACAAACGACGGTTGTTATCCCTAAAATGATACATTCCTAAAGAGATAATGTTGTTTTATTCTGTTGGATTGTTTATTTAATGTACCTAATCTTCTCTAACAAAGATGCTTATGAAGTGGTAAATAAATCTGTGATAATGCAGGAAGATGAACTGTTTACTTTTCAGTGTGTAACTGAGAATAATATTCCCTGAGAAGTTAGCAAGTTTATGTTGGAAAGCATTATGTATTAACTTGAATTATGCCTTGACTACGATTGAATTGTAAAGGCATGGTTGTGAAAGTCTTCTTACTAATCATAGTTTGATTGATGGCAGCTAATTGTGGGTCCAAAATGCATGTTTCGTCAGTGACTGAAATCATTCCTACTCCGAATCGAATGCAGTACTCATTGCTTTAAACACTAGATCATCTATAAACTACAAGTTATTATTTATTATTATAATCTGATGTGTGTGTGTGAGAGAGACAACATTTTGACGAAGAATGTATCATCACTTGAAGTCAAAATCTCAGCACTACTTTCGATAATAATTTTAACACAGCATATTCTGTTTCATACAGATGAGCGTCGATTATTTTTATAAGAAATAACTTATTAACGTCAACAGTAAAGTCTAATTTCATAATTATTTTCAGGGTGAACACAAGCACTGGAAATTGAACTATATAGAAATAATGCCCATTAATTCAAATCATTTATATCGTTTCGAATATTATGATTGGTTGAGTTTAACCTACGGTAGAAGAAAATCAGTATGGGTCGACATCCCTGCAATGGTTGATAATATTGTTCAACTGAAAGGTACTTTATATATATATATATATGAAAAACCGATATTTTTTTAATCTGTCAACACTTTAAGTAAATCACGAGGCTATTTTGAAATAATCAAGTAGTTGAAATAAGTATGAAGCTTTTGTTTATCGGTGGTACGGTTTCAGATGATGTACATGCTCAGTGGTTAACACTTTTTGCGTTTGAATTGATAGGTGTTCGGTTCCAGTCTCAGTGGTAGCAATCATTTATTGTGGTGCAAGTACATCCAACTGACGAGTCCCAAACGGGATGAAACTAGCTTCCTACATTACACTACTAGTCACTAAACAGAGATCAATGCAGGCTTTTTAAGTATATTTGGAAGTAAATAAAGTCATATTTTATCAAAGTTTTCATTTATTTTCTGATAAGTTTCTGTTATCTTTAGTTTGAAAGTACTGAGTTTTTGAACTTATTGATATATTAACATGGAAAACATTAAAACGTGATTGAAGGTCTGGATTTAAGTGGTCGTATACTCGTAGGAGAAAAACGGGTTCACACACCACATTTTTATAGACCTCAGTGAATAAATAGCTCATATTACTATATAGAGTTATCCTAACATTTGCCAAGAATATGAAATGTATGTGTTAGTATTCAGTTGATAGTGTTTTCTGCTTGACTGTAAGTGAATCGTAGTATTTTCTAATAAAGTACCCATGTGCATTTGCGTGCATAGCCATAGCCGAGCATTTCTCTAAATTTCTTATCTTATTAGGATCTATTAATCTTGACTTAGCTAAGTTTTTGTGTTCTGTTATTCTAATTGACTCTAGTCAGAACAGAACGCAAAAACTTAGCTAAATCAAGATTAATAGGTTCTAATAAGACAAGAAATTTAGAGAAAAGCTCAGCTACAGATATGCACCCAATTACACACTATCTCACAATAGGTCAGGATAAGGTTGGAGCAACAGTATTAAAAACTAACCTAGTTGGGTGGAGGGAGAGATTGATAACCGAGTTTGCGTTTAGCCAATCAACACCAAATACACGCAATCGAAATGATTGTACATCTCTTCCAAATATACGCAAAATCCTATTACTCTTGTTATCACAAACGGGGAGAGAAAATGAGGACTACATAAACTCTGTCTGAAAGTTGTGGAGTTACTTGCTGATATGAATATGGACAATAAATTATGTCCGAAATGTTATCCAGTAAATGATACTGTCCCTTCACTGTGTGATATTTCTAATAAACAGACTAAAATCGAACCATTATCTTCAGATATTTCAGTGTTTCTTTCGGCAGTTTACGTCTTTTGTCGCGCACATGACTAAACTTTCCACCTTTAAAGTTTATAACGAATCGCTTTTATAGACCAAGTTAGTTAAAGTAAAATTGTTTTTATATGATACCGTCGTAGAATGTACCGAATTGGTCGATCTCTGTTGGCATATGGGCTCCTGCGCGGATGTCTCGATGTTGCCAGTGTTTTAATTATGTTAATGATGGATCGTGGCTAGCAGTGGAATCCAGGATGCGCATTTCGTCCTATTTGGGACTCGTCAGCTGGACGGTATCATATAAAAACAATTATGCTAAAAACTATACCCGTCGCACAAGAAGTGGCTATCGTGGCTTGGTGTTATAGTGGATAACGCTGTGGCATTTGAAGCAATCGCTCCTGAGCCCGAATCCCGGTGGGAACAACTTCACTCACTGGGAGGCAGGTACATCCAGTTGACAAGTCCTAAGTAGGACGAAATGCGTATCTTGGATTCCACTGCTATCCACGATCCATCATTAAGAAATTAGTTAAAAATCTAATGTTTGACTCAATAGAGAATTGAGATATTTAGTGACTGTTAGTAATAGTGGGTAGTTACAGTAAATGGAAACAAACCTGATATTATTTTAAGTAATTTTGTGTTAAACTATTGTTAATGGTTAGAGAATTAGAAAATTTTGTGTTTCTAATGAAGTGACCAGCTAAAGTCACAAGCTGATACAATTTACATTCAATTTCATACTTTTTTTCACAAAAAATAAACAGCAACATGTTTGGATATTTTTGTTAAAACTGGAAATTTACCCGCTAGTTCAACAGATGCCAATGTATTTATACAATTGTTTGGTGAGTTTGGTGATTCTGGAGAAATAGCACTAAAACAAACTGTTACAAACCAGAAACCATTTCAAAACAATGCAGTAAGTTAATATAACCTATTTTATGGTGATACATATGGATACAATACTTCATAAACTTCTCTATTTCTAACCTGATACTACTGCTGAAATGAGTGTGAAGTTTCAAAAATGATTGTCTAGTACATAATAGAACATTCCACCCCTACTATCCCTAAAAAAGAACTTTGTTGTGATATCCAGCTAAACATAATGTCAACCATTCACTTGGCAATGAAAAAAGTGCTGTACGGTTACTCTGATTTGACAATAAAATAATCACATATCAGGGAGATTGAAACATTGAACATCCAATTTTTTCTAATTCTTAACCTGAAGAAGAAAAAAACGTTTGCGCTTATTTCAGTTTAATAAAAGGTTGTATGTAGCGCAAATAACTGACTATGACTCATTGTCTTCTACAGTGGAAGCTATGGTTACAATCTTATAATGGATATTTATAATTCATTACGTTAACTCTTCTTAGAGAATAATCTCACTTCGATATATGGATTACCTTTGAAGGTTATTAAATTCAGCAACAAAACTGCATATCATAATTGCACAGTTAATGAATATACCGAGAAATTAGGGCTCAGGTGTTCCAGTGAAGTTAGGTTGTTAAAGAAAACATACTGGTTTGAATATCTAGGCTATTCAGCTTTTGAATGCAAAGCTTTGATATATATGCTTCTCAATTAAAGTTTTTTCTACTTTGCATACACAACTCGTTTTAAGTTAAACTAGTTGCAGTATTTCTAGAAATCCTATCGATTTCAACTTACTCCTCCTTCATATTTTAACGCATAGGACAGCTAAAGCTGTCTGACGTTGGCATTATTTCTTAGTGGACAGATAGTCTTAAATTTTTACTTCGTTTATCTTTTTGATGTTCTTCTACAGATTGTTAATGTTTTGCTAATCTATTTCATTCCGTAAAGTACTAAAATGAACTTCACCGTTATGCTAACATTTCTAAAGTGTCCGTAAGTAAAGTATACGCTTTGCATCATTGGAGTGCAAAGTACTTCTTGAAGATTGTCAGAAACCTACTCCTGCCCTCACCCTCACTGGTGAGCCATTGGAAGTAGTCGCAAAGTTTGTGTATCTGAATAGTTGTTTGAGTGCTGCAGGAGGTGTGAGTGGTGAAATTTTCAACCTCATATCGAAAGCCAGAGTGGTACGGACCAATCTGGCCCACCTCTGGCACCATTGCGACGTTAGTCTGACCGTAAACAGTTGGGTTCACAACGTTTTGGTGGGAGCAGTTCTGGTCTACACAAGTGAAACCTGGTATTCCGAGCTGAGGATGTGAGACAACTCTGTGTCCGATCATCGTTTTCTTCTCAAGATTCATTGTATCCCATGGCAGCACTATGTGAGTAATTGTGAGTTACGACAGAGTGTGTTTGGGCATGATGGAGATCGTTGTTTAACAAGTGGTTATCTGAAGATACTGGCTTTGGTAGTTTGGAAGTGTATTACGCATGTTGTCCCAACGGCCCCCTTACCATTTATTGTTTGCTAACCCTGAAACTAGATGGAAGAAGCGAGGTGTGGTCAGTGTATGATGTAGCGCCATGGGATGAAGGATAGTTGTATCGGGTTAGCATCTGTTGGTTCACCACCCCTCCCCGAGTGGGGCCTGACAGATCATGCAATTCAGTGATTTGAGACGTATCAGATATGGCTCAGAATAGAAACCGGTGGCGGTCATGATGTAGCTTCCTGTTGTCTTCTGTTTTTGAACAGTATTGAATGTATTGTTTCCAATATACCTTATTTCAGTGCCCTTCAAATCATTCTAATATTATTGTATTTTTCTTTTTTTCGTATCCACTTCGTTTCACTTATTGTCTCCATAATCATGTTATATTATTTTGTGTGTGGCATTTCTTGATGTCCTTGCTGTACTATGTTTCTGTTCTAATAACCATAACAACAAAAGTAATAATAAAGCTGATAAAACCCATCAGGATGAAAATAAAATAGCCACAATCGACGTACACTCCGCGACTAGCTAAGGTATTAGGAATTTAAGTCATAAAAAAGTAAACAAACTGCTTAGTAATTATAATTATTATCATTATTATTATTACTATTTGTCCCTTGTGTTCCTAGTGAAACATAGGAATTCAGTTGCACGTCTCCATTCAACTCTCTTCTCTGCAATATCTTCAACATGACTAACAACACTGCCCACAAGCTCTCATTTATTCCCCACACCATCTCCTCCATTTCACACTCACCTCACACACCCAACTCACCCTTTCCCATATGGGTTACACTCAATGACTCGGTCGAGCACATGATGTCTCCGAATCGTCGTCTCAGTGTATACCCAATCCAATCCATCTCCACCTACTTCCAGTGCATATTTGTTCAGTGATGGGTCGTCGGTTGGTTCATTCCAAGGCCAGAGTTCCTTGTTGCTCATTCTTATTATTCTGGCCATGTGATCTTCAGTGAGGAGCCAGTGTGGGTGGCAGTTGTTGATGGATGTCTGTAGTTTGTTCGAAGTGCTTTTCGTATCGCGTCAATTCTCTGAGCCATACACAAGCAGTGACTTGACAGAAGTTGGTGTTGAAAATCCGGATGTTGTTCACGCTTTATACTGAGTGCAGTGCAGAAGATCTGCACACTGGTTTCAGGTTAATGAACACCTGTTTCGCTGTCTTTCCCATCGTGGCTTTGACGTGCTCATCTGTGCCTGTGCCGTCTGTAGTTGAAACGATGCTGTCTTTACTGGGTAGGTGAAATAGACATTTTGCTTTAGGTTTCTCCCTTTGATGGTGATTGGTGCTTGTTGTTGATGGTGTTGTTGCTGGTTAGGTATTTTCATCACCTTCGTCTTCGCTGTCCTGCATCTTGTGTCAGTCAGCTTGTTAGTTTTTGCCTGTACATTTTCGATTTTGTGCGACATTAGACACAAGTCATCGCCAGAATCCAAATCTGTTATTATCTTTTCCCTGGTCGAGCGTATCCCTCTCTTGTCACCGCTCATGGTTTGTTTCATGGTCCAGTCCACTACAACCAGGAATATCATGGGTGATAGTAGATAGCCTTGTCTTACTCTTGTTTTCATTTCAAAGGTATCACTCAGCTTCCCGTAACAGACTGACTAATAAACATATATAATTTCATCCTTTCGTTAAACTTTCTCTGGGGATCACAACAGCGTAGAATTAAAAATTCTGGTAGATGAAAAGTAGAGAATAGACAAAATAAATCTGAGTCTTCTTCATAATTAAACAGACTACTGGATAATGTATTCTCGTCAATATTAAAGGTTTCAAACCCTTTTAAGTTGTTTCAAATATGGATTTCTAACACCTATATCCTTGGGGAGAAAAGCTACTTCTGTATGTGATTATAGTGTTGATATGTCTTTCTTTAGCAGTTCGAATCAACAATAAATGAATTTATGAATTGGTATAATCCCCTACAACTGAAATATTTAGTCAGTCAACCGCCTAACCTATTAGCAACCGACATCAAAAATGAAAATAGAGAGTAGCCCATCATGTCTTCTGCAGAAGTAAACTTCACAGGTGACCCTAATCTCTTATCAAGTACTTTTTTGAAGGCGTTATGAATTTAGTAACTTTTCTTATACATCTAATGCATTTAGTAAGATTCTGAATATCTTCAGAATAAAGGCATTCCATTTAAAAATGAGATCTTTGAGTAAAAATACCTTTCCATTATTCATAAAATCTATGCATAAATATTCATTCCTTAGTACATCTTGTTACTTACTGAGTGTGAACTATTTTTTCTTAGCACACATAACACGTTAGTTGATTTATATTCAGGTATATTGAAGGTGAGTATGGATAAAGAAGAACAATAATTTCCTGTTGAATTTGAAATCTCACGATAAGATGAAGTCACTGGAATCGCGTACAGATGAGCGGATTTTTTAAGTTGGATCACTTATATTGAAAGATTAACATGTTGTACAAAACAACTTTGAAGCAGCTTATATATGTCTCTCAAAACCAAGCTCTCATGATCTTTAATATTCTCAGAGGTCTCCTGATATATATATATATATATATATATATATATATATATATATATCATTTAGTAGATTCATACATTCATGTCACATCTTAGCTTGACCATCTTCAGCTTTGTTGCAACGTAGCATAACGCTTCAGCCTACATATTGGTAGCTCAGTATATGCATCACATTTTCTTACCTCTTCGGTTAGCGTAGTCACAACTTTATTGGCTTACTTACCATTGTTGCTTAAAGTTGAGTACTTTATATCAATTATACTCAAGATACAGCCATATAGTTAGTGAGTAATGCTATGAAGGTTTGTGTAATTGTCATAATGTATACCCTAAATGATACTGCATTACTTCTATAGAGTAACGTATATCACACTACAGTATGCTGGATTCAACCCTTAATAAATAGTCAAATATCCTGCCGACAACGGAGGTGTATGTACACTACCAAATGGCATGCTGAGTCATCAAGCATTAAGACTGATGCAATTTGGTAAATAGGGATTGATTCTCCAGGTCATTTCAGTTTCTCTCTTTACATGAGATATCTACTAGTAATATTCACTAACGATGTTATCAGTATTTTTACCTATTGGTGTTTGTTTAACAAGATTACTCAATTTTTATTTTTAGATTGATCGTTTCAAAATATCATCCTGTCTAAAACTTGGCAATCTGGCACGCTGTCGAATATGGCACGACAATAAGGGATCATCACCTAATTGGTATTGTGAATGGCTTGAAGTAAAAGAAGTCTTAGTACCGGGGGATAATAGTTTAACATGCATCTGGAAATTCGTCTGCAGCAATTGGTTATCTATTAGTGATGATAATAAACAGCTGATGAGAGATATTCCATGTTCTGAAGTGTACATATGTGATTCAAAAGGTCAAAGAAATATGGATAAAGAATATGTTGAAACTACACTACTAATGGCTAACTCTGAGAAGCTGACCACTTTAAAAGATGATCTAAAAGGAAAAATAGGTGAGTGTTTACGTTGTCCTAATTTGACACTTTACAGTCCTTTTTATTGTCGCACAAAAGGAATCGTTGAATACTGACAATTTTACTCTGTAGTTCCATCTTTTTATAACACAAATTGTGTAATACTATGTACGGTAATTAAATTTTAAAATAAATCTTTCATTAGTAAAGAGTTTCCTAAGTTGCAGTATGTAACACAGTTATTGGACGTGTAGCATTTCTTTTGATACAGCATGTCTTTTTGTTCAGAACGAGTTGGAATTCCTCCAGAGGCACTAAAAACAGAGGCAGAGACATCATTCAACATGCTCATATCACTATTGCAGAAGGTTTGGAAGGTAGGAAGGAAAGGTACCTGCCGACGGGGAGAAAGGATACCTTCTCATACTCCAAAGTCTTTGCAAGAACTGGCACGGAATCATGCTGCTGTCCATCTTAAGCGAGCAAAGTATTATGCTACGTCATCCTGGAGAGACAAAATGGATGCGCTGGATTCAAAATTACCGCCGGAACAGGCTGGCTAGCTGCGTTCAGGAAGAATAAATCATATGCCCATCGAATTGCAACGTTAAGCCACGCATCACCATAGAGCAGAGTATAGAATGCTAGTCAACTTCATCTTTACCTCAATTTCATCCACTTTGAAAAGGCCTTGGATAGCGTCGATCCAGAAGTAATTTGGCAGTTGCCTTAACACTAGGGTTTTAGTGCCACAAACCTTTATCGACCTCATTCAACAGCAGCTATATGCTACATGGTGCTAGATGCCAAGTGATTTTCACGCTGACCTGCTTTAACCTTGAGCTACTAAATGTACCCATTGAATATTTTTCATCAAACTCTTTTCTTTCAATTTGTTTTAAGCACTTAAATATGACCTTTGAACGTATTATTTAGTCTTGCATATTTTTGAACTGTTTTCATTCTCCATGTTTCAAGTCAATAGCAAAGCAGAGAAAGTGTTAAGTTATGTGAAAATGGACTTTTCGGTGCAAAAAGTACATCATATTTCTATCTGTCAGATGATTAGCGTGAGTTGCAGATTTTTGTACCTTTTAAATGAACAGCTACCACCAAAATACGCTTGCATTCCTAGTGGTTCTTTATTATGAACCGGATGCCCATCCAGAGCCAGTTGGCTAATTCACATTATTATCTTCAATACTGTTATTATAAACATCATTCCAATGCAATAACCGTTTCATCTGAAAGAATTGTTCTGGAAGTGAATTTGTTGAAAACGTACGTGCTGACAATTCTATACTGTCATGCATATAGTTTGCAATGAAGCTATTATTATTATTATTCAAAATAAAAAGCTAAGTGATGCCTTTCCAGTGAAGGCAGTAGTGAGACAAAGTTGCCGCCTACCATCACCGATGATCTTCCAGATTGTGGTCTACTGGACTAGATCGTACAACAAACTGTTAGGAGCTAGAAGATGGGCATACGCTGGCTGGACCAATGACTAGACCCTAGAAGATTTGGATTTCGCCGATGATTTATGTCTGTCTTGTCGCACAAACTCGAAGGTCTATAGGCAAAAACCAATAAGTTGGCAGAAGAGGTAAGGCAGTGAAGATGAGACTTCCTTCGAGTGAACGTAGAAAAGGAAGAGATGATGAAGATACCCAGCTAACAACAACAAGAAGAGGCACCAATTACCATGAAGGGGAGAAATGTAAAAGAAGTTGACTCTTTCACCTACTTACCCAGGCAACATCGTTTTAACTACATGCGGCGGCGACACAGATGAGGACTTCAAAGCCAGGATAGAAAAGACAGCATACAGGCCTTCCTTCATTAATCTGAAATCAGTGTGGAGATCTACTACACTGCACTTATGATAAAGCGTTAACAACATCCGGATTTTCAGCACTAATATCAGTCAAGTAAGCGCTTCTATGTGATGGCTGAGAGACTTGGTGCTTTACGAAAATCGTTTTCGACAAACTACAGACATTCATTAACAGCTACCAACTACGCTCACTCACTCGATATTGAAGATCAGATCAGATGGCCAGAATAATAAGAATGAGCAACAAGGAACTCTAGCTGGCCCATCAAATATGTAGAAGGAAGTGGATGTGGATTAAACTGGACATATACTGAAAAGACGGTTTGGCGATATCACGCGTCAGGCCAGGTCATCGAGTGGAACCCATATGGGAAAGGGTGAGTTGGGCGTGTGAGGTGAGGGTGAAATGGAGAAGATCGTGTGATGAAGAAATGAGAGCTTGTGGGCAGTGGTGTTAGTCATGTTGAAGATATTGCAGAGAAGAGAGTTGAATGGAGACGTGCAACTGAATTCCTATTTTCTACTAGGAACCCAAAGAACAAATGATAATATCGTTGTGTTACAACTTGCTCTGGGCAGTGATGAAACTGTCCTGGAATTAGACTTTCCCAAAAAAACGCGATTCCATTCTTAATTGGAGTAATTGATGTTTTGGATTCTATAGGATCATAGTTTGAATATATGTGATAAACTGTTAACTTCTTAGAATTGGCTTACATGTAAAACGATAATTTCATGTATGTGATATTGAGCACTTTAAGACCTTAAAATCATGCACACCGTAAGCTTAAACTGAGTGGGAGTTGAGGAATGAAACAATATAATGTGCAATAAACGACAGGAGGCTGCTAATTGATTGGAATATTGGACGTCACAAATCACAACATGTCAAATAACCATAGTCAAGTACTCTGAAATAATTCATGTTATAAGACGAATGTTGATTAAATACCTAGATTAATTTTTACAAACAAGTTTATGATTTTAAGACATTTTTGAAGTTTTCTTGCTATAACTCATGTTTCAGTTAAATAATGTGTTATTATTTAGACCAAATAGATAAACTTTAATCAACTAACTGAGTAAACATAACTGACAGAATAATATGAGACATGAAAATGCAATTAACACAATGAGACACATGGATTAGAGATGAGTAGTGACTGTACTCCCTCAGGCTTGATAGTTTACTAAGCTGCGAAAACCAAAAGACAAAGACTGACCTGCGACTGCATGGTTTTCCATTAGAAAATTAAATCACAAGGTCAGAAGTTGGATATTTATGTTTAATGGTCAGTTGAAGGACAAAGTTATCCAATAAGGTTTTTCCTGCCTACATATGAAACAAATATTGAAATCCAAAACTTTCAGCTGACTGGCTGATGACTTAAAATGTTGATTCTGACTTGGACCATTGACTATCAATTAGGTAATAAAATCTTGAAGAAAATTTCAAGTTCTGTACATTTATTTATTAGTATTTGTAATTTCCGGTTGTCATACCACATCCAGTCGATCAATCTCTCTTGGCATTTGGGCTCACATACGAATACTTCACTACTGTTTCAAGATTCATGATATTATAAGTTACTCGTTTGTCGCTGATACTGGAATCCAAGAAGTGATTTTCTTCCCATTTAGGACTAATCCTCTAGGAGTATATACACTCCTTTGAGTGGTGATATTTTCACTGAGAGTCGAAACCATCAGCAACTATTTCAAACATTGAAGCGATATCCAATAGGCTACAGTCTAATCAAGCAGTATACTGGTCAAAGTACCCTCAAGGATCTATCAGTTTGGTCCAGTATGATGGTCAACGACAGGTTACCAGTATCAGTAAACAATGCTTGATACTCAATGCTCAGTAAGTGGCTGTCATGGTGGACAATAAGTGCTGGATTGGAGTCTCACTCGCTATACAGCCCATCGCTGGGACCTGAATACATCGAGATAACCAGTTCCAAATAAAATTAGATGCACATCCTGAAATCCACTGCAATACACCATCAAGTTACCTATCGAATGATAAATATAGATTTAATTGAAGGGAAAGTGCAGGTTTGCTTAGGAACAAATAAATGTACCTTGGTTTTGCTTTGTTAAACGAGAACTTATAAGATACATCACACTTAATGATCAACTTATGTTTCTGATGATATTAATTACTTCATCTACAAAGCCTACCTGCAGAGTTTTGTCATTATTTGTTTGCAGCATACTACTGTTTACAAAGAGGACAAGTATTAGTACTTCTTGTTTTCATTTGAACTCTATGTACAACCCAGTGTTATTTTGCTTGGTAAAAGTTTACTGTTATTTGCTGGTACACTTATTGACAATAGAGAAAAAAAGTTTCAAAACGAATTATATATGATCAGCTATATAAGTCAAGGATTATCATAGAACAGAGTATAGAATGGCAGTCAAACCTTTACCTCAACTACATCGACTTTGAAAAAGGCTTTCGACAGCGTCGATCGAGAAGTTTTTTGTCAACTGCTCCAAAACTAGGGAATAACACAAACCTACCTACTCTATACTAACACCTATGACTTTCCTGATTCTGGTCGACTGGACTATACTGGATCATGAAACAAACCGTGAGCAGTGACAAGAGAGGGATACGCTCGACCAGGGAAAAGATAATAACAGATTTGGATTTTGGAGATGACTTGTGTCTAATGTCGCACAAAATCGAAAATGTACAGGCAAAAACTAACAAGCTGACTGACACAAGATGCAGGACAGCGAAGACGAAGGTGATGAAAATACCTAACCAGCAACAACACCATCAACAACAAGCACCAATCACCATCAAAGGGAGAAACCTAAAGCAAAATGTCTATTTCACCTACCCAGTAAAGACAGCATCGTTTCAACTACAGACGGCACAGGCACAGATGAGCACGTCAAAGCCACGATGGGAAAGACAGCGAAACAGGTGTTCACTAACCTGAAACCAGTGTGCAGATCTTCTGCACTGCACTCAGTATAAAGCGTGAACAACATCCGGATTTTCAACACCAACTTCTGTCAAGTCACTGCTTGTGTATGGCTCAGAGAATTGACGCGATACGAAAAGCACTTCGAACAAACTACAGACATCCATCAACAACTGCCACCCACACTGGCTCCTCACTGAAGATCACATGGCCAGAATAATAAGAATGAGCAACAAGGAACTCTGGCCTTGGAATGAACCAACCAACAACCCATCACTGAACAAATATGCACTGGAAGTAGGTGGAGATGGATTGGATTGGGCATACACTGAGAAGACGATTCGGAGACATCACGTGCTCGACCGAGTCATTGAGTGTAACCCATGTGGGAAAGGGTGAGTTGGGTGTGTGAGGTGAGTGTGAAATGGAGGAGATGGTGTGGGGAATAAATGAGAGCTTGTGGGCAGTGTTGTTAGTCATGTTGAAGATATTGCAGAGAAGAGAGTTGAATGGAGATGTGCAACTGAATTCCTATTTTCTACTAGGAACCCAAGGGACAAATAATAATAATAATACTGACAATATAGTTAAACGCTTCAGTCACCGTCTTATTCATTCTTTGAACAAGTTTATATTATCACTAATAATATTTTGGTGATTCTTAACATATACAGAAAGTAGAAGAAACATTAAAGACGAAAAATACTGAGCATCTTGTGTTTTTTCGAACTGAACTCTCTACTTTGCCGTTTAATTGTGAAAGTTCAATAATTTATCTGCTGTATACCTGTTTATCTGTTCATCTGTTATTTTACCAAGCCTAATAAATTTTGATCTAACTACAACTTTTCTTTGAGTTCTTTCAGGTAAGACTTTACCTTCTCACCTTCATTAGTTGTTCACTCGTGTGAACAACTAAACATTCAGTAACTGGAAACTGTTGACTGAACGTTATCGCTACAAATTTTAAAAAATCGATGCATGATTGTGCATCACATCACTAAATATGGATGCTTAGGAGATGCCTACACATCTAAGTGACTACATAACGTTTGAAATAGTACTTTCAATTCTTGTTTTGATACTTATATTTTCCCTTTACGTTGAGTTGCTCGACTTATGTTGGCTGATAGACTCTGATATGGATGCCTCGATAAATTCGGCCGTCTGTAGCAATGAGTAATGACAAGTATCAAAACAACAACTGATACGCATTGCACAACAGGTGGATATCGTGCCCCAATGGCTTTGTAGGCAAATCTTTACAGTTTGAAGTAATGGGAACTGGCTTAGTGTCTCAGTAGGAACAAAGTCACTCGCTGGGGTGTATGTATATCCAGAGTACGAGTCCCGAGTAAGATGAAACGTGCGTCTTGGAATCTATTGCTGTTTACCAAAACGAATATAATATAAATTTTGTTTACACTTGATAATTTTCTTGTTAGTGTACGATATAGAAATACAAACTGGAAAATTAAAGGATTCAGGAACAACTTGTGATGCTTGGTTAATCATAGAAGGTAAACACGGTCGTAGTCCAAAATTGCACCTTGTAAACCAAACTCAAAATCCAATATTTCAAACTGGTCAAATGAATCAATTTCAGTAAGTTTCTTTGAACTATTTTAAAGTCACCTTTTTTTGTTTGGTGATCTTTTCTCTCGAATAAAATGACAAATAATTTGTTCAAGAGATCAGTTCTAGAATAGAATCGATTTATCACATTTTAATGTTTTCATCAGCTGCAAAAGTCGCCTAAAGAGTGCAAACACTACACAAAAGATGATCTTAATAGTCATGTCTTGTGTAATATCTTCTATGAGACGATTTGTTGGAAAAATATAATCGCATAAAATATTTACAGTAATGAATTAGTGACACTGAAACCATATTAACGTATGTTCAGACTTTCTAAGATACCACACTGATGAGTATTCCTGTGAAGATGAGAAATCATCAAGAATGTGTGGAAGTGAAATAGTGTTGATGTAGGTAGGTCGAACTGATGATTAGGTGAAAACAATCAAGTGAATAACTTTACAACTATGACGCTATTTTTGAGGTCAAATAAAATCTGATAAGAAGGAACAGGTAAATCTAAGAGACGTTTTACAAACGTGAATGCTTATCTAGGCAAGAAAGTTAGTCCAGATATTATGTAACTTGTGAAATACTGGTATGGTCATGCAATCTAAATGACGGTCTTCTGCGTACATGAGCCCCTAAGAGCATTGGGCAGTTGTTCCGTCCCACTATGGAACTCTTCAACAGCATACACACATGACCCTTGCAGGATCGATCCCAGGACCTTTAGATCTCGTTGTAGCTCGTTATCATTCATCCAACAGGTTGAAATACATTGATCTGATTTCTCATTTCTATCAGTTTGCGAAATAGCGCTACCATCTTGCAATACCATTGGTGAGTACCTATTGTCAGACAAGGTTTTCAGTGGTTTGCTAATTGATGTCAGTCCATGATGAGTGCTACCTTAAAAATAAAATCTTTATTAACCTATGTAGTGATCGTTGGTGAAACGCTTCATGATGAATAACCTGAAGTTCGAATGAGAAGTTATCACCTGTAGGGCCGACTAGTCAGGTGTGAAGTGGCTGCCAAGCGAAGATGTTGGTGGATAGCCGCGCTATATTGCGAATTGACAATAGTAGCATATTATAGACTAATGAACACTGACCGACTGGCTGAACGATTAACGTATTCACTGTGAAACCTGAAGGTTTCGGGTTCGATCACTGTTAGTGTTGTGGGTGTGTACTGCTTAGGATTCCCATAGTAGAATGAAAAAGTTGTCTAGTGCTGTTCGCTTTTCAGTGGTTCTACAACTGATATGAAACCGTGATGAATACTACCCTAACAATAAAACCAAATGCAGCCAGAAACAATAAGGGAAGTTGCAAAGTACTTTTTAATGGATGATGTAGGGTTACATACAGATATAAGGTGTTATGTAACCATGTGACAATAAAGTCATCTCAACAAGACGATATGGATTAGATAAGTTATCGTAATAATGCCTAGTGTAATAATTGCAAAACTACTATTAATATGAATTTGGTCAGAGATGATTAATGAATAAAGTTACCAATTACCAGGAACAAACTAACAACTATCTCCTTTTGAATAAACATTTTGAGCCGGATTCGCCGTATAACAGTGGCTTCAGAAATTTGAAGTAGGCATGAAGTTATGGGTTTATTCACTGTCATGAAGAACTTTTACATGTCCGTCTGATATCCTTACTATTAACTGAGACTGAGTCTATGAAGGAAGTAAATGTTTAACAGCCCTGATGGATGCCAATCTCTACGTCCTCCTCATGCACGGTATCTGATAGAGCAAGATGATTTTGACAGTTGAAGTCATGTGTATTACAGTTATGATCCACTTGTAGACTATCTCTACCGCATCATGAGGTTTGAATCATAGTCTGAAGAGCAATAGATGTTTTCTACAACAGAGCATTTCACTTTATTGTTTTCGCCCTTGTGTACCTTCTAAAATAGAGCTCTTCGGATACCAGCTCTTAGTATGATACTTCTTAATCAGTTGGTGTTCTAATTCAGTCCTTTTTTTTAAAACCAATCATCTTGTCCTCTAATTTGGCGTTCCCAGTAAACTTACTTGGCAAAAGATGTCAAAGTTTAGGTACTGAATGCTCCAAGTGTACTATCAGTTGGTGTATGATATAAAATGTTTAAACAAGACAGGTCTTAAAAACACAAAATGTGAGGTAATTATGTCGATAGATCCTTCACACAGCATTTTCTATCTGTCAGATATACCAAGATCAAAACGAATTGTGTATTCAAATCAGAAACATAAAGCCTAAAATGTACTGCTCTTTGTCATAAGATGTAATAAATCAGAAAATAATACTTGAGTGAAAGTGAGGGAAAATGAAGTAGTAGAAAGTCTTGGCTGTACATTCACTTCTAATCACTCTGGAGTGAATTATGCGTTCCTATCAGAAATTATTGTTTCACTTCTGTTGAGATAAACATCTTAATACTCAATCCTTGGTTAAATGAACTTAATTTATGCAACGATCAGAATGAATTTTGTAAGATCAGTTTAAGGCTCGTTTACATTTATCAGAAAAATGCATTTACTATCTGGGCAAAATTCATTTATTTTTCCAGGTTTTTAAATCTGTCACCCTAAGTTGCAGAAGGAATTCTCACATATTCAGATCCTTAATGACACTTTAAACTGTTAGCCAAAGGTTAACCACAGAAGCTGTCAATTTCTGCCTATTGATTAAAGTTTACAGTTGTAGGTCAAGAAGGAGAAATGCCAAATGAAACATTTACTGACATTCGATATACAGAACTGAACTTCACAGTGGTATGCTTGAAACTTGGACCAGAAACCGTTTTCACCGAAAACACATATCAATTACTTCCGTAAAATTTGTTTTATTCATTTAATTGTATCCTCTGAATGTATCATATAATCTTGCACCTAGTCTCTCCTTGACTTAATAACAGAATGTCACATTAAGTAGAGATGGATTTTCCGTTGACAAGGATACAGATTCTTGTGTTGGCTGATTGAATGCTCTATTTTCTGTTCATTCACCATTCTAAACCAGACGTTAATCCAACACCAGTTGGTTGTTTCACATTACTACCCTTAACACTGTTATGATTAACATAAATCCAATGAAATAGTCATTTTGTTTGAAACTATTGTTCTAAAAGTGATTTAGTTGAGATATTACATGCTAAGAATTCCGTACTGTATCCTACATATTGCTTGGAGTAAAGCGATTATTTTGAGTTGGAATTCACCGTGGACTGACATCAGTTGGAGGAACACTGGAAAGCTAGGAGAAATGGACTACTGTTTCGTCTCAGCATGGAACTCTTCAGCAATACGCATTCATAGACCTGTCACACCAAGGACCAAATCTAAGGCCTTCAGATTCTGGGGCCAGCACGTTATCATTGAGCCACTACATTGGAATCCAACCTTTCACATGTCCTACTTCTGTCAGTTCACGATATAGCGCTACCTGCATCTGGTGTCATCTTTGAGTAACTGTCCTCATATTCAACTTGGTTATGTCTACTAATCACAACTTTTCATGGAAACTTCAGTAATCATCTCTGGAAACTAGTCACCATTGAGCTCTAGCTTAATTCAATCTGAAGGTTTTTCAAGGTTTATTAACTGATTTCAGGTTGGAATTCACCATAGAATTCATCCATAAACCTCTGGATGCAATTAAAGCGATTATTATTCAGCGCCAAGAAGGTAGTCATCTACGTGATTTAGCTCAGTGGTTAGGTTACAGACGTATTTTTGTGAACTTGTATCAAAACTTTCATCTTGAGAGCAATATTGATTTCGATCCACTTAAGAACCCTTAAATAATTCCGTAAGTATGTAATGTGCTGGGATTTCACAAACTAAAATAGTGAAATAAGCTTTTATTTAGTTGAAAGTGAAGTGATCAACATGTGGTGATATCCATAAAACAGGTTCACTTCGAATAATCCATTATTAGATAGTGGTGATGGTACTGGGCATTCAATACCATCACCTTTTCTTCTGATCATATACTGAATTTAGCGTCTATAGTTGCTGAAATTCGTTTTCGTTTTATTTATTGATATAATGAACATTTAAATGCTTTTCGATTTCTTTGAAACTTGAAATCTGAAGGTTATCAAGTTTCCCACTAGGTGACATTGATACTATTCGACTTGGCATACTTGGAATGAATGACAATAAACAAACTGATCCAAATGAAATGCAATCAGTTAAATGGTTTGTTGAAGGAGTCAATATCAAAGATCCAGTAAGCAAACGGATGTATATATTCGCTGTTAATCAATGGTTAAGTTTCATTCAAACATCTGATCTAAAGAAAGATATTGTAATGAGATACAATAAAATTATTGAAGATCCTCAGAAACAAGCATTTTATGAGTTTAAAGGTGTGTCACAATGTTGTGGATAATTGGTAACTTGAAATTCAGTTTACTACGATTATACTTGATTTTAGTTTAAAATCTCTGCTGAAGTTGATATAAACAGTATATCTTGAAGGTACATTTCATCTCAGCAAAGTGATAAATTTGATAAACCATACAACATTGAATAGATAGCCAGTAGGATCACTGTTATATTATTCTTATTTTTCCCTTTGCTTCCTAGTAGAACACAGAACTTCAGTTGCACGTCTCCATTCAACTCTCTTCTCTGCAATATCTTCAACATGACTAACAACACTGCCCACAAGCTCTCATTTATTCCCCACACCATCTCCTCCATTTCACCCTCACCTCACACGCCCAACTCACCGATTCCCATCTGGGTTACACTCAATGACTCGGTCGAGCACATGATGTCTCCGAATCGTCGTCTCAGTGTATACCCAATCCAATCCATCTCCACTTACTTCCAGTGCATATTTGTTCAGTGATGGGTTGTCGGTTGGTTCATTCCAAGGCCAGAGTTCCTTGTTGCTCATTCTTATTATTCTGGCCATGTGATCTTCAGTGAGGAGCCAGTGTGGGTGGCAGTTGTTGATGGATGTCTGTAGTTTGTTCGAAGTGCTTTTCGTATCGCGTCAATTCTCTGAGCCATACACAAGCAGTGACTTGACAGAAGTTGGTGTTGAAAATCCGGATGTTGTCCACGCTTTATACTGAGTGCAGTGCAGAAGATCTGCACACTGGTTTCAGGTTAGTGAACACCTGTTTCGCTGTCTTTCCCATCGTGGCTTTGACGTGCTCATCTGTGCCTGTGCCGTCTGTAGTTGAAACGATGCTGTCTTTACTGGGTAGGTGAAATAGACATTTTGCTTTAGGTTTCTCCCTTTGATGGTGATTGGTGCTTGTTGTTGATGGTGTTGTTGCTGGTTAGGTATTTCCATCACCTCTGTCTTCTATACGTCCAATTGAAGTCCCGTCTTCGCTGCCCCTTCTTTCAGCTTGTTGGTTTTCGTTCCTAGATCTTTGAGTTTGTGCGACATTAAACATAAATTGGCAGCGAAATCCAAATCTTTGAGGTTCCTTTCATCAGTCAAGAGTATGCCATTCTTCTCGCTCCTCACTGTTTGCTGCATGATCCAATTCACCACAAATAGGATCATTTTACTACATCCTAAAGAGTATACCTACTGTAAGGGTAGTTATAAGACGGTTCAAATAATTTATTACTTTCTTAGAAATGAACGAACGTTATATCTTCAATTATCTATTGAACGCGTTTGCCACGAAACCTGAAGGTACTGGGTCCTATTGCTGTTGGGGTCGTAGGTACGTGCTGGATAAATAGAAATGAACTGCATATCATACGTGATTGTTCGAATTTTGACCTCGTAAGCGTTTAACAAATGTACACTGCCAAAAACCTCATGAAACTAAACAACCCGTCTGGTGTTTGAAATTTTTTAGTGAATTCCCAACTGTATATAAGAAAAACTACCTTACCGTCAAATAATAATCAGTTTTATCCTAATTGGAATCTTTGAAGTCAGTGCTTCTATGTGGTTCAGAGACTTGACGCGCTCGAACAGGGAAAAGATCATAACATATTTGGATTCTGGCGATGACTTGTGTCTAATGTCGCACAAAATCGAAAATGTACAGGCAAAAACTAACAAGCTGACTGACACAAGATGCAGGACAGCGAAGACGAAGGTGATGAAAATACCTAACCAGCAACAACACCATCAACAACAAGCACCAATCACCATCAAAGGGAGAAACCTAAAGCAAAATGTCTATTTCACCTACCCAGTAAAGACAGCATCGTTTCAACTACAGACGGCACAGGCACAGATGAGCACGTCAAAGCCACGATGGGAAAGACAGCGAAACAGGTGTTCACTAACCTGAAACCAGTGTGCAGATCTTCTGCACTGCACTCAGTATAAAGCGTGGACAACATCCGGATTTTCAACACCAACTTCTGTCAAGTCACTGCTTGTGTATGGCTCAGAGAATTGACGCGATACGAAAAGCACTTCGAACAAACTACAGACATCCATCAACAACTGCCACCCACACTGGCTCCTCACTGAAGATCACATGGCCAGAATAATAAGAATGAGCAACAAGGAACTCTGGCCTTGGAATGAACCAACCGACAACCCATCACTGAACAAATATGCACTGGAAGTAAGTGGAGATGGATTGGATTGGGTATACACTGAGACGACGATTCGGAGACATCATGTGCTCGACCGAGTCATTGAGTGTAACCCAGATGGGAATCGGTGAGTTGGGTGTGTGAGGTGAGGGTGAAATGGAGGAGATGGTGTGGGGAATAAATGAGAGCTTGTGGGCAGTGTTGTTAGTCATGTTGAAGATATTGCAGAGAAGAGAGTTGAATGGAGACGTGCAACTGAAGTTCTGTGTTCTACTTGGAACTAAAGGGACAAGTAATAGTAATAAGGTATGGTAACTTCAGTGAGAGACAGAGCAGTACCCCTTGACCATATTTTTCTGAGAGACGTTAGCCAACAAATGCACGTTTTATGCTTGCATGAGTTAGAATTTATTTGAGAATGTATAAGCCAAGTTTTTGGTGAATGAAATTCATCTCACTGGATATGTTAGTTCGAAATTGGCATTCAGAATTTTAAAGGCTATCTATGAGAAGACTTGTCAATAGAAAGTGAGGGAGAAATTAGGCAAGTCTAACCGTCAGTGATATTGTTCTTTGAATGTCATGATTATCACCTATGTTTCTGTACTGCATGGAATAACTAACGAACGAAATTGGGTTGTTGTTTAAATGTTTGACCAACCAAAAAGCGTTACAATACAAAATAGTATTCATCATGCAGTGATTAACTAGTGAATCACTGAAAACCTAGAAGCGTTGGAGGCTTTTGGTGGAATTACCGTGTAAGCAATGACTAAGTTAGGCGAGAGGTACTAGGCTAGACGGACACGTTAGGGATGAGGTTGTGAACCTTGGTCTACTGAGATAGATTGGGAATGTACTGTGCATGCTGTGCAATGCTAGAAGAAGTTGCATTAGTTTAGAAGAGTGTTCAGAGTGCCCAGATGAAGACGTGGCACCAATCAATTAAGTCTCTGACTGTTGGATTGACCTGTGCAGAGAGATGTAGACGGCCGGGCTGGGGTCCCTGACGTGGAAGGAATCAATTGTAGAGGACTTTTGTCGACATGGTCGAAAATCAATCCTAGTGATCCAGGTGTATTCACTCCTTGGCATCTCCTAAAGTTTGAATATTCGTACTAAATGTTATCTTCAAAATGTTTATTCTCTTACACAGCTTTGTCTACTTTGAAGTTACTCTTTTTTGGCGCACCCGATTTTTGTGAACTACTGTGAGTTGTGTCAACTTGAACCGATGCACTTGTGTTTGAGGTCCTACTTTGATTTTCTCAGTCAGTTTCAGTCGAAGCACTTAGCTACTGTTTTCTCCTAATAGAGCACTGCTCAGTAGTGTAATTCAACTACTATGTCAGGGGTGAAACCCGGGACCTTTAGCTTTTGCAATGAGCAGGTTATTATTCATCCATTAAGTAGGAATACAATGGTTCACATTTTAATACTTCTGTTAATTCATTAACAAGTTTTCAATACTTCTCCAGGTGATGTTAGTCTACAATATATGCCACTGTAAAGGGGTTTATAAATCAGTGAATCTTCATAAACCTTGAACGTTGTACATTCATTTCTCAGTAAATTAAAACGACTCAAGTCTTCCGAGCAAGTTAATATTGTGGCCGATAATCTAAGAAATGAAGTACTTTGATGAATTTTGGCTACAGTTGCATACCTTAAGTCAATTAAGCTGCAACAATCAACCTTTTGTGTAGACTAGGTCGTAGAAAGTGACTTTTCGACTGAGATTCAATAACCATTTTGATGATGAAAAAAATTCGAACCAAATAACTTTCATCTACTTGTTTAGTGCTAAATCGATGAACCTACGGGATCAGTTAACGTAAAATATCTCGAGTTCACTGTTGGCCCATTAATTCAACTTTAATTCTGGTTTCCTTTATATATTTTGTATAGAGAAAGAATCAATAGCTCGAGTGTAATTAAAAATTTACCAAGATAATTTGGTTGGTTGTGGATAGTAGAGGAATCTGGGAAGCGCGTTTCTTCCTATTTCGGACTCATCATATGGATGTGTCTGCACTCTAGTGAACGATGCTGTTCCCACTGAGACGCGAACCCCGAACCCATAGCTTCAAACACCATAGCGTCATCTATTATGCCATGGAGGAACGATATTCACTTCTTGTACAGCGGGTAGTATTTACTACTATTTATTGATATACTTGTGATTCTCTGTTGTTTCATTGAATTACTTTAATCAACATTCAGGCAATATCAGTGCATCCACATAGGAGCCGATATGCCAATACAGGTCGAACAAATCGATCCAATAAAACAACGGAGAATTACAAGTACATCAATAAATAGTTACAAAGATTTATTGGTTAAAAATAATAACAATTTTTCATTGTTTAAAATATACTTAGATAGTGGTAGACCAGTGAATAGAGTAAAACTTCACTTGAGCTATTACTCAATAATATACTCATTTAGGTCTTAGGAAATTGTAATCCATAGCCTTAATATGGTTATAGCACACTGGATACATCATTTCACCTGTATAGTCTAGCTGAAGAGATATCTTATGTTAACTAAGATGGAAAAGATAAGTAGCTCAAAACAAGGATGATAGTGGTTTTGGTGTTCTCTAAGTTATGACAAAATATCAAAGCATAGAAAACACCAAATCACCATTAGGATGCCATTTTTATAGTTAACCTACATTAGTTTATTATCTTTTAAATGTAGATAATGAAGATTTTGTTCATTGTAAGTTAGTATATTTCTGTATAATAATAGAAATGCACTCAAGAACCTTGTTAACATTCACGCAGTAGGCAATAGCTAAGGATACTAGTTGTCTGCTAAAACTTCAGTAGTTAGAATGATCTCCATCTCCTGATCGATTGGTTGAAAAATATCTCTGTAAACCAATGAACTATAGCATAGCGTACAACATAACTGTCTTTTTGCTGGCAAAAAACAAACAAACATTAAACATCTGTTTTGAATGATTGATAGAAACTCATATCAGTTATTTTCATTGAAATCATCTGATAATCCGTTAGAATAACTTATCATTCATGTTCCATGCCTTTTTTTTATTATCACTTACCATTTATAAGTAATTATGTAACATTATGAAAGATACTTTAATCTGTAAACTTATCGAAATTATAAATTTATTGTAACAGATAAACGAACTAACATGTACAAAGTATCCATTTATACTGGAACCAAAGGATGTTCAGCTACCGATGCTAATATCTTCATAACTATGTGTAGTGATAAATCTGGTTTAAACTCTGGTCGGATTGCATTGAGAAGAGAAAACAGAAATTTATTTGATCGAAAACAACTTGAAGAATTTTTTGTTCAATCTATAGATTTAGGTTAGATTTCTATTTAGTTGTCATTTTGTTTAGTGTATATTATATTGTTCAATGATAGAACTTATCAGAGACAGGTCCAATTTTGTAAAGCCTTTAAAACTTACTAAAAGATTGCTAGATATATTGTTGCTGGTGAAATAAACTTGGAAGTTATTTGAGCATGTTCTCATAGAAGTATATGAAAAATTAGTTTTTACTTTGCAAGTTCCTAAACATATTAGGAGTGTTTCGCTAGAATTTACCTATTATTATTATTTTATTATCAGTCCCTTGGGTTCCTAGTGGAACATAGGGCTTCAGTGGCACGTCTTCAGTGAATTCTGTTCTTTGAGATCTTTTGAACCTGGTTCCACGACAGCCCAGAAGCTCTCATTTCCTCCTCGCACGACCTCCTCCATGTCACCCTCGGACGTCCAACTCGTCGCTTCCCATGGGGATTCCACTCGAGGGACTCAACTGGCACGTGATGTCCTCAGTCGGCCTTCTCAGTGCATGGCCAATCCATCTCCACTTCCTCCTGCATATTTGTTGTGTGATAGGTTGTTGGTTGGTTCGTTCCCAGAGCTCCTTGTTGCTTATTCTTACTATTCTGACCATCTGATCTTCAGTAGCGAGCGTAAGCAGAATTTACCTATGGGACTGAAGAACGTTAATCTCAGTATTATATGCTTTCTACCAAGTGATTGGTTATTATGGATCCATCTGATATACATTCTCAACAAAATGATCCAAAAAAGAAAAAATCAACATTCTAAGTTTCTCTTTTATGCAGTAGGTTAAGAGATTAGGTTGATACTTGGAAATTACCTAAAAAGTTGAAAAGTTTTCCAATAAAGTTGATCGATATTTCAATTCATCTTAATAGCTTTATGGTATTCGCTGTTGATAAAAAATTTTGGTTGTATTGTTTTCTCTGGTCTGGATTGTTTAATCGTGAAGCTTTCATCGTCTTTCTAAACCATTATCCAATGGAATGGGAAATAGTTGAACAAAGTGGAAGGCAACAAGTACAATTGTTTATCACAAATGCACATCATTGGATCCAGAAATACTAGTCAGTGATTAACGATTAATAGAGAAAACTAGCAAGCATACTTACGACACAACATATGACAACACTGACAACTGCAATTGAAAAATCAAGCAGACAATGCAAAGAAAAGTGAAGAAAAGTTTTTAAGAAAAAGCTGCAGAAAATCTCAGAAGCACTTACAACCAAGGAAACAAACGACTGTGTTGCCAACTTATCAAAACAACCACTAACGAAAATGGAAGAACTTCTCCTTCAAAACAGACTGAATTACAACACAAGAGATACCTCGAAACCAGAATTCTTTGCGGTATTAGAATCGTTACTTAAAATATCAGGATTAAATGAGGTCACTCAACAAGAAATACGGTAAACAATCGTACCACTAACCAGGCAAAGGAGACATCATGCTCAAATGAACACTCAAGAACAGAAAACAATAAAAAGATTGAAAAATAGGAAAGATATCGTTATGCTTCCAGCAGACAAAGGATGCACCACAGTATTCATAAGCAAAAGAAGACTACATCAAGAAAGCAGAGGAATTACTCAGAGTAGAAAATGTATTTCAACTAATTGAAACCAGATCAATACAACCTTGAACAAACTCTTCAAAGCAGAAGAAATAACAAAGCAAGGTAAATGGCGTATGAAATCAAATGGAGCTGTCCTTTCTCGATTCCACGGCAGACCAAAACTACACAAACCCGATATCCCTATACGACCAATTGTCACACTTCCAGGAACTCCAACATACAACATATGAAGAGAACTTTCGAGAAAACTGAAACACCTCGTTCAATCATGTGGAATTTCTATCAAGTCACCAACACAATTCTTACAAAGATGAAAAATATTAACCCAGAAAACGACGAGTTAATGATATCCTTCAATGTCATGGCACTACACACATCTATCGAAACTAGTTGGCTAAGATAACTATATCCACCTGCTCAATGAAAAAACATACCTTTCAGAATGCATAAAACTCAAATAGTCAAGTCTGATGGAACTCATAGATCGCTGTCTGATAACATACTTCCAACTCAACGACGAGATATACAAACAGATGAAAGGAACTCCAATGGGATCACCGATATCTGACTAACTGCAGAAGCAGTGATGCAGAGACTGGAAGCAATCATTATACGTGTGATCAAACTAAAAATTTGGATTCGCTATATGGACGACACTTTTGTCATTAAAAAGATGATATAGAAAACACCCACAGTTTGATCAACAACGTTTTCAATGACATCAAATTAACAATGGAGAATAAGTCGAACAACCAACCACCATTCCTGGATGTTTCAGTTAGTAGGATAAATGCCGGAAAGCTAGAAACCCAAGTGTACAGGAAGCCGACACACACTGATCAAATACTCAACTACAGTAGCAACAACCCAACAACACGCAAATTGGTTGCATGCACACTCTATTCAAAAGAGCGACAGCACACTGCAGTACAACAGCTTCATGGAGAAACGAAGAAAATTACTTCATATCCATCCTAAAGAAGAACGGCTACCCGTGAAACTTTATCAGAAGATGCTTATCCCGATTATCATCAACTACAAAGTCATCCACAGAAATCAACAAATGCATCATCCCACTATACATAAAGAATATATCAGAAACCACGAAAACATTACTCAGAGAACTAGGAATTGGTGTGGCTCATGAACCAACAAATTACCTCCAAACACTACTATGCAGACCGGAGGATGCAACAACCAAAGAAGACGGACCGAATATCGTTTACAAAATCAACTGCGATAACTGTAGTTAACACTACATTGGCCCTCTTTGCCTTCGTCTACATGAACACCAATTAGCTATTAAACGCCACGACATTTCATCGCTCATTCCAATGCACGTAGATAATCATAGACATGAATTCGATTTCCAGAGAGAAAACACAAATAATATGAGAGAATTCCTAGAAGTTTGGCATTCAGGTCAGTCAGTCAGTCAGCAATCAATAGATGTATAGACATAGACCCAATCTATCATTCAATGAGAAAAATGGTAAACGACAGAAAGGTTAGGGGTTAAGAAGAGGAACAGCCAACAGGAAAGTCTACACAGCCAATGACGCAACAGTCGAAGGAAAAAATTAATCACAAACTAATTGGTCAGGTCAAACTGCTAAACCACTCACGGGGAGATATTGACAGCTCACTTCCTACTGAAGTTAGTGCTGACGATGTCATCTAGAAAGGCGATGAAAGTTTCAGGATTCCACAACCCAGCCCAGAGAACACAATACAACCAAGACCATCAACTTGAGCTACAAATATTCTGCACTATATCAAATTAATAAAAAATCTATTTTTTCATCAACAAGAAATTTTTAAATTGTTAACTTAAGAAGGATTTAAAAACACACAGATGTGAACCGAAATGAGTCTGCGATTTATGAATGGATAGAAACCGTTTTTCTTCAATAGTTCTCTGTGTTTTAGTGAAAATAAGGAGAAGAGTCTAGAGGAAGAATGATTCACAGATACGACATTTGAGGAACTCAACAAAGATGAGAGTTTGGAAAAGACAGGATGTTGTTGCAGTGAAGAAAATTTTTTTCTCTTCAATGAAGTTATTTACTAAGTTGTACATTTGTCAACATATGTTACAGTGGGCTGAACGTTCCAGAGTTATTTTTTTTCAAAAGTAAACCTGCATTTGATAGAAAAACGCAGAAACTTGTCTACTTACCGTCACATGGTCCTTACTACTTTTTGAACAGCAGAATACTTCTATTTGATCATAGGAAAAAACAAGATATGGTTACAGTGAATGCAAAAACTTGCTTTTGAAAGAAATAACTCTGAAGCATTCTGGTAGCTGTAACATATGTTCACGAATTTTTGGCCTAATAAATGACTTCGTTGAAAATAAAAAATTTTCTTCGCTACAACTACCTCTTGTCTTTTCCTATGATTAAACTGGTGTATTACGCTACTTAAAGATGAAAATTGTCTAGCCAACTAATCGACACCTAGACTGTAAGTTGTGACGAAGTCATCTTAGTGTAGTGACATATAAGAACAAACGTCAGAGCTCAGAGAACTGACTAACTCTTAATAATAATAAGAACAACGAAGAAGTAGCTTCTTGAAGACAACAACCTACTCATCTTATACAACTGTGATTATTATTCCACAGTGAATTATTTGTGTGACTAGCCCCGTGTTAATATTTTTACATCTGAAGTAACCAAGCGAATATAAAAAAATATCCAAACGACACTAACCCTATAAGACACTTGGTACCGTATACTTTACAAAGCTACAAAAATATCCGAAGACGTATACTTGCCTGTAATTGCAAGGAAGATACTTTATTCGACAAAAACACACCATTTATATACTGTTTTCATGAATATATCAAACTACTAGGTCAAGAGTTAAATAGTTTATTCTGATTGGTTAACTGTAAAGTGAAATTTTCCAATAGGGTTTTTCTTGACCACACAGCGAAATGAAATAAAAAAAAGATTTTTTACCTTAGTGGGTGATGAGTTAAAATGTTAATTTTCATTTAGGCAGATTCCTATCAATAATCTTCTGTATGAATAACTAATTAAATTATTTTAATTTCACTTATTATTTAATTTGTAGGATATATTCAAAGAATTATAATTGAACACGACAATAGTGGTGTAAGTCCTGATTGGTATTTGGACAAGGTATTAATCACCAATCAGATAACCAATCAGATTCATACTTTTGAGTGTTATCAGTGGATTTCAAAGAAGAAAGGTGATCGTAAATTATGGAAAGAATTACTGGTTTCAAATTAGAAAAAAGTAGTACAGATTTAGACAGTAGTAACGTGAATTGAAATTATGAATATAATTCATAAGTTTTTATTATACTTTTTCACTTCTGATTTATGTATGGTTCTTTAGATTTTCAGACTTTCTGTTGTTCAATTTGTTAGATTAAACTAACTGACCACTTTGGATATTCTTGTTCGATGTCGTCAGAAATTTCATTTTCATTTTGTTCGTTCAATGATAGCTGGTAGTAGAGTCTAACTTGAATACTCCTTCCAATTTTGCGTTCATTGACCACGTATATCTGTTGATCGGAGATCGATACCGTTTCCATTTGAATCCAGCTGTAAGAAGTATCACTTTAAACCTTCTTTTTTCAAGTTAAGCGCCAGCGTCAATGAAAGCAACGGTTAGCAGAACTACTTGAAATAACTATAGATACATGAACACTGAATTATGCTATCAAATTCGACAATTAGGTCACAATGTTGATATGGATAAAAACTTATGATCAAACGATGCTGAGTCTAAAGCTTAACTGAGCAAATTTCAAAAGAATGAACTGCTGGCTTACCAACTCTATTCATATGTATTTTTAATAGTTTATGTAGAATAATCAAACGAGTAATTATCTTCATAAAGCGGTGTGATCAAAATGAAAAGTAATTCAAAAATTCCCATTTAGACATTTAGTAAAACAAACAATATGAGCGAAGAAATATTTCTTTTCAATTAGTTCCTCATCAATGGCTCTACACTAATATAACATTTTCAAACGTAAAATTACATACCAATCTAGTGGTGAGAGTTGTTCAGTGAAAGGTTATCAATCTCAAAGTATCGAGAAGGTGATAATTGACCAGGTAATTAAGACAGTTAACTAAAGCAAAGATTAATTATCGTAGAAAGATTTTGCGAACAGGTTCTTACATAATTGATATTTTATATAATGATAACTAAAGAGCAAAAATTAACTGTTACGTAAAATGGTAAATTGTTGACGGTAATTAGAGACAGTAGGGGGAGAGAAAGATGATTAAGTCTGTAATAATAATAATAATAATAATAATAATAATGGAGCTATTGAAATACTAGTTATAGTGAATTGTGTGGTGGATGAAATGAAGAGTCTTGTTGTAATAAATGAGCTATACAGATGGCCAAGGCAAAGAAAGAGGCTGTACGAATCTCTTCTGAACACACAGACTTGGCTTGTGTAGGTGGATTCCTATGGCTTCTGCTGTATGTAAAAGACGGACTCGTAGAGGATGGGTGAGGTGAGAAGGAATGTGATAAATAACTTTAAAGGCATTATGAATGTTAACTCGGTGGTCGGTGTCAATCAGATGAGAGAGTATTGAGCTTCGTGTCAGTCTGGTTTCCCCCTTACTTAGCCATGAAGGATGATGCTCGGCGATTCGACGACGGACTTGCCTAACTGTACGTCCAATGTAACTAGCTCCACAGGAGCAGTTGAACTGGTAAATGCACATAGAAGAGGAGAAGTCAGGGAGTCTGTCTGACACGAAGCTCAATACTCTCTCATCTGATTGACACCGACCACCGAGTTAACATTCATAATGCCTTTAAAGTTATTTATCACATTCCTTCTCACCTCACCCATCCTCTACGAGTCCGTCTTTTACATACAGCAGAAGCCATAGGAATCCACCTACACAAGCCAAGTCTGTGTGTTCAGAAGAGATTCGTACAGCCTCTTTCTTTGCCTTGGCCATCTGTATAGCTCATTTATTACAACAAGACTCTTCATTTCATCCACCACACAATTCACTATAACTAGTATTTCAATAGCTCCATTATTATTATTATTATTATTATTATTATTATTATTATTATTATTATTATTATTATTATTACAGACTTAATCATCTTTCTCTCCCCCTACTGTCTCTAATTACCGTCAACAATTTACCATTTTACGTAACAGTTAATTTTTGCTCTTTAGTTATCATTATATAAAATATCAATTATGTAAGAACCTGTTCGCAAAATCTTTCTACGATAATTAATCTTTGCTTTAGTTAACTGTCTTAATTACCTGGTCAATTATCACCTTCTCGATACTTTGAGATTGATAACCTTTCACTGAACAACTCTCACCACTAGATTGGTATGTAATTTTACGTTTGAAAATGTTATATTAGTGTAGAGCCATTGATGAGGAACTAATTGAAAATGAAAAGTAATTGCAAATACGGTTAAAAATCACAAACTTGTATCCACAACTGCTTCAATAACGCCTCTAACTAACAGATATAGCTGATAAGATGACTAAGTTTTAATCTCAGTAACTTATGCCGTTTTACATCTTAGCAAAGTTTATCGAACAAGATTTTCAGCTTTTTCGCTTCAAAAACATTCAGAACCAGTAGATCAGAAAAAGCTGAGCTTTCCAGCTCATTTATTGACATTTAGGTCAAGATTCTTGAGAAACAGAAGAAAATAAAGTCGTTTTAAACGTCTCCATACTCAAAAGTGGTTTTCTTAGATAACGCTCGAAGTATACATGGATATATAGTCTTATTCAGTAAAGAATCAGGCTTGTAACTGGAACTGTTGTGGCCAGCAGACATCAGCAACATGTATGGCCTCTTTGTGAGAAAATTAAAAAGTCAAACTTATGAAACACAAAGAATAAGTATTAATTATAATCACCATTATCAGATAAGAAAAAGATTCTGGTTTCATTAGAAATGTAATGTCTGTATATAAAATACTTTCGGGAACGATGAAATATATTCACATGTGCAAGATGTCATGGGTCCCTCATTAGAACTAAGTTATTACTATTTGTTGATGTACTTGTTATTCTCCATTGTTTTACTGGATCGAATCGATCGACCTCTGTTAGCCTTTTGGCTCCTGTGCGAATGCTTCTATATTGCCTAACTATTTATTATTACAATTTACTTGGTTGTGGCTGGCAGAGGAATCTAGGACGCGTGTTTTGTCCTATTTGGGATGTACCTGCACACTAGTTCGAAGTAATGTTGTTCTTATTGAGACTGGAACGTCGTATGTTTCAGTATGATGGATGAGAAAAGATTTAGTTCACTCTAATAATAGGTAGTGACTTTCAAGAGACTTAGACTAACTTATTGACAAGAAATGAGGAACGTAGTCAAATGCGTCTGAAATCATGAGATAAATTGTAAGGACTAATTAGGGTTAGTCATGTATAGCAGTTATAAGTTAAACAAGCCGAGATGAAAGCTTATGCATGCTATCAACCTCAAGAATCCATGTTAACTAGATATGATAGTACGGCTGAAGAACACTTCCCTTAGTTATTTTCTCCATAATTCCAGATACTACATGCGTGATATTTACTTACCAGTAGTTACTAGTTTGTGTTTTTGGGCCTCATTTATATATGGATACGATAAATGCTGTTTTCCAGATATTAGGATATGTCGAGGGTTCTGAAGACAAAGAAAAATGTCGTGGGTAATAATGATCAAATCTCCGGGTAACCATAAATATCAAAAAGTAAGATAGTATCCCGTCTATGACAGAGTTGGTACAGAGCATTTTAGAACCTTAATATCCAGCTTCATGTTAACACGTGTGAATTTAAAGGTGTTAAACGGTGTCAGTATAAGTGATGAATAGTGTTTTGACTCTAGTGATAGTTGGATAAAACCCTACAAGTGCTAACCGAAGCAATAGTAATGGAAAAAAACAATAAAAATTGGTATGAGTACCAGTGGCACCTAGTTAAGAAATACCAATGACAATGGTATTACAAACATTAGGAAAAATGTTTTGCATCCAATTGAAAACTGAAGAGAAGCATCTCTCAGAAAAATACAATGTTTAAATCTCTTTTACATCTGATATCATCACTGTCTTTGATGGACTTGAATAAATCAGTCAATAATCTGAATTTCACTATGACTCATGTTTGAGAACTGGTTTCACCACTTCAAAGATACATTTAAATTTTATTTTGTAAAATTCAACGCTTTAGCTGGTTGCTGGCCTAAACTTGGCAAGTTGGGAACAGAAGAAAATGAAGAAACGTGTGGTGGATAACTTTATTCATTAAAACATGCTGAAGATTTAGATTTTAATGAAACCCATGGGATATATTTGGTTAATCCATTGCATCTTTCCCCAAAAAAAATGTTACTTTAGCAAACAAAATACCCTCTGTTCCGCACTTCTCCCCTATGAATCTGAAAACTTTAAGTAAAAATAATTAAGTGTTGTACATTTCAAAAGCCTAATGTTTATCTGTGAAGTAAATAATTCGAGAACCATGAAACTAGAAATGTTCAACAGACAATACATTGAGATGAGTAGAATGAGAAAGTTCTGACCAGTCATATATTCTGAGACTGGCATATAGGCGAACACTTCTTGTATATATGAACATAGACTTTTTATCGCAGGACTGCCGTGAATGGCTAAAAATAATCACTTTACATGTTGAAAGAGGTGGTTATTAGGTAGATTGTGAGTCTACGGATAAGCTTGTTTTGAATTCCGTTTTCTAGTGTACGTATTACGGGGTTATTTATCAACATAGAATGAAATATTCTGGTAAAGTAGTGATTAAAAAGGAGGAAGCAGGGAAGAGGTATCTACCACACCAAACAATCTATAACCTGAGTCTGGAAAGTTACTTGTTGTATTAAATTATTCTGCTAAGTATGAAAGACTGTCACTAAAAGATTATCCATTTGGCGGGCTTTACTATGTGTCTACACTAAGCGAACTGTTGTCAAGATTTTAAACGTTCGAGTAATCGTGTCTGCAGATACTGAGGAATTTTTTTGCAAGTCATGGTACTCGATGAAGATAAAGAGTATTTGAAATTTCTGTGATAAGATGGTTTAAAGGGTGATCTATTGGAGTACATAGTGGCTGTGAACCAGTTTAGGGCCACAGCATCAGCCATCTATACCAACTTCACCTCACGAAAAGCATTATTTACATTTGGTTCTCATAATTTAACACATCATTTCGTAAATGAATGCCATCATAGTATGCTGTCTTGT